GGAACACGGTGTTGTGTGAAGATGTGTGTTGTTGTGGGGGACATGCTGTGTGAAGGTGTGTGTTGTTAGGAACACGGTGTTGTGTGAAGATGTGTGCTGTTGTGGGGGACATGCTGTGTGAAGGTGTGTGTTGTCAGGAACACGGTGTTGTGTGAAGATGTGTGTTGTGGGGGACATGCTGTGTGAAGGTGTGTGTTGTCAGGAACACGGTGTTGTGTGAAGATGTGTGTTGTTGGGAACACGGTGTTGTGTGAAGATGTGTGCTGTTGTGGGGGGACATGCTGTGTGAAGTCGTGTGTTGTTGTCAGGAACACGGTGTTGTATCGAGATGTGTGTTATTGTGGAGAGCGTGTTGTTGTATCGAGATGTTTGTTGTTGTGGAGAGCGTGTTGTTGTATCGAGATGTGTTGTGGAGAGCGTGTTGTTGTATCGAGATGTGTTGTGGTGATCATGTTGTTGTGTCGAGATGTTTGTTGTTGTGGGGATCGTGTTGTTGTATCGAGATGTTTGTTGTTGTGGGGATCGTGTTGTTGTGTCGAGATGTTTGTTGTTGTGGAGAGCGTGTTGTTGTATCGAGATGTGTTGTGGTGATCATGTTGTTGTGTCGAGATGTTTGTTGTTGTGGAGAGCGTGTTGTTGTATCGAGATGTGTTGTGGAGAGCGTGTTGTTGTATCGAGATGTTTGTTGTTGTGGGGATCGTGTTGTTGTGTCGTGATGTGTTGTGGAGAGCGTGTTGTTGTATCGAGATGTTTGTTGTTGTGGGGATCGTGTTGTTGTGTCGAGATGTGTTGTGAGATCGTGTTGTTGTGTTGAGATGTGTGTTGTGGGGATCTAGTGGTTTTTGGGAGAGTAGTGTAGTGTGTTCTTGTGTGTAAATGCATGTTGTGCTGAGTGTAGTTTGCGTGGACACAGCAATAATACAAACTCTCGTTGTGAGTGCTGGTGCTTGGTGTATTGTTGCTGTAGTGTTTCTATTGTTGCTGTAGTGTATCTATTGTTGTTGTGAGTGCACGTGTGTGTGTTTTGTTGTCATGCGTGTTGATGGGTTCAGTGTTGCTGTTTCCACCATGGTGTTGTTGTTGCCATGGCATTGGCCCCAGATACACTTCACACCTGCAACTGCCTGACCCTGTGTACACAACAGTGGTGCACCTCGTCCTGGTCGATGTCTCCATCACTTGTCTGACCCTGTGTACACAACAGTGGTGCACCTCGTCCTGGTCCATGTCTCCATCACTTGTCTGACCCTGTGTACACAACAGTGGTGCACCTCGTCCTGGTCAATGTCTCCATCAATTGTCTGACTCTGTGTACACAACAGTGGTGCACCTCGTCCTGGTCAATGTCTCCATCAATTGTCTGACCCTGTGTACACAACACTGGTGCACCTCGTCCTGGTCAATGTCTCCATCACTTGTCTGACCCTGTGTACACAACACTGGTGCACCTCGTCCTGGTCAATGTCTCCATCACTTGTCTGACCCTGTGTACACAACAGTGGTGCACCTCGTCCTGGTCAATGTCTCCATCACTTGTCTGACCCTGTGTACACAACAGTGGTGCACCTCGTCCTGGTCAATGTCTCCATCACTTGTCTGACCCTGTGTACACAACAGTGGTGCACCTCGTCCTGGTCAATGTCTCCATCACTTGTCTGACCCTGTGTACACAACAGTGGTGCACCTCGTCCTGGTCAATGTCTCCATCACTTGTCTGTCTCCATCCCTGTGTACACAACAGTGGTGCACCTCGTCCTGGTCAATGTCTCCATCACTTGTCTGACCCTGTGTACACAACAGTGGTGCACCTCGTCCTGGTCAATGTCTCCATCACTTGTCTGACCCTGTGTACACAACAGTGGTGCACCTCGTCCTGGTCAATGTCTCCATCACTTGTCTGACCCTGTGTACACAACAGTGGTGCACCTCGTCCTGGTCAATGTCTCCATCACTTGTCTGACCCTGTGTACACAACAGTGGTGCACCTCGTCCTGGTCAATGTCTCCATCACTTGTCTGACCCTGTGTACACAACAGTGGTGCACCTCGTCCTGGTCAATGTCTCCATCACTTGTCTGACCCTGTGTACACAACAGTGGTGCACCTCGTCCTGGTCAATGTCTCCATCACTTGTCTGACCCTGTGTACACAACAGTGGTGCACCTCGTCCTGGTCAATGTCTCCATCACTTGTCTGACCCTGTGTACACAACAGTGGTGCACCTCGTCCTGGTCAATGTCTCCATCACTTGTCTGACCCTGTGTACACAACAGTGGTGCACCTCGTCCTGGTCAATGTCTCCATCACTTGTCTGACCCTGTGTACACAACAGTGGTGCACCTCGTCCTGGTCAATGTCTCCATCACTTGTCTGACCCTGTGTACACAACAGTGGTGCACCTCGTCCTGGTCAATGTCTCCATCACTTGTCTGACCCTGTGTACACAACAGTGGTGCACCTCGTCCTGGTCAATGTCTCCATCACTTGTCTGACCCTGTGTACACAACAGTGGTGCACCTCGTCCTGGTCAATGTCTCCATCACTTGTCTGACCCTGTGTACACAACAGTGGTGCACCTCGTCCTGGTCAATGTCTCCATCACTTGTCTGACCCTGTGTACACAACAGTGGTGCACCTCGTCCTGGTCAATGTCTCCATCACTTGTCTGACCCTGTGTACACAACAGTGGTGCACCTCGTCCTGGTCAATGTCTCCATCACTTGTCTGACCCTGTGTACACAACAGTGGTGCACCTCGTCCTGGTCAATGTCTCCATCACTTGTCTGACCCTGTGTACACAACAGTGGTGCACCTCGTCCTGGTCAATGTCTCCATCACTTGTCTGACCCTGTGTACACAACAGTGGTGCACCTCGTCCTGGTCAATGTCTCCATCACTTGTCTGACCCTGTGTACACAACAGTGGTGCACCTCGTCCTGGTCAATGTCTCCATCACTTGTCTGACCCTGTGTACACAACAGTGGTGCACCTCGTCCTGGTCAATGTCTCCATCACTTGTCTGACCCTGTGTACACAACAGTGGTGCACCTCGTCCTGGTCAATGTCTCCATCACTTGTCTGACCCTGTGTACACAACAGTGGTGCTCCTCGTCCTGGTCAATGTCTCCATCACTTGTCTGACCCTGTGTACACAACAGTGGTGGTGCACCTCGTCCTGGTCAATGTCTCCATCACTTGTCTGACCCTGTGTACACAACAGTGGTGCACCTCGTCCTGGTCAATGTCTCCATCACTTGTCTGACCCTGTGTACACAACAGTGGTGCACCTCGTCCTGGTCAATGTCTCCATCACTTGTCTGACCCTGTGTACACAACAGTGGTGCACCTCGTCCTGGTCAATGTCTCCATCACTTGTCTGACCCTGTGTACACAACAGTGGTGCACCTCGTCCTGGTCAATGTCTCCATCACTTGTCTGACCCTGTGTACACAACAGTGGTGCACCTCGTCCTGGTCAATGTCTCCATCACTTGTCTGACCCTGTGTACACAACAGTGGTGCACCTCGTCCTGGTCAATGTCTCCATCACTTGTCTGACCCTGTGTACACAACAGTGGTGCACCTCGTCCTGGTCAATGTCTCCATCACTTGTCTGACCCTGTGTACACAACAGTGGTGCACCTCGTCCTGGTCAATGTCTCCATCACTTGTCTGACCCTGTGTACACAACAGTGGTGCACCTCTCGTCCTGGTCAATGTCTCCATCACTTGTCTGACCCTGTGTACACAACAGTGGTGCACCTCGTCCTGGTCAATGTCTCCATCACTTGTCTGACCCTGTGTACACAACAGTGGTGCATCCGTCCTGGTCAATGTCTCCATCACTTGTCTGACCCTGTGTACACAACAGTGGTGCACCTCGTCCTGGTCAATGTCTCCATCACTTGTCTGACCCTGTGTACACAACAGTGGTGCACCTCGTCCTGGTCAATGTCTCCATCACTTGTCTGACCCTGTGTACACACAACAGTGGTGCATCACTTGTCTGACCCTGTGCACAGTCCTGCCCTGGTCAATGTCTCCATCACTTGTCTGACCCTGTGTACACAACAGTGGTGCACCTCGTCTCTGGTCAATGTCTCCATCACTTGTCTGACCCTGTGTACACAACAGTGGTGCACCTCGTCGCCCTGGTCAATGTCTCCATCACTTGTCTGACCCTGTGTACACAACAGTGGTGCACCTCGTCCTGGTCAATGTCTCCATCACTTGTCTGACCCTGTGTACACAACAGTGGTGCACCTCGTCCTGGTCAATGTCTCCATCACTTGTCTGACCCTGTGTACACAACAGTGGTGCACCTCGTCCTGGTCAATGTCTCCATCACTTGTCTGACCCTGTGTACACAACAGTGGTGCATCCGTCCTGGTCAATGTCTCCATCACTTGTCTGACCCTGTGTACACAACAGTGGTGCACCTCATCCTGGTCAAAATCTCCATCACTTGTCTGACCCTGTGGCACTGTGCCCATGCAGATACATTTCAACCAATGATGGTGAGGTACTCAGCATGTGGCATTGTGCCCATGCAGATACATTTCAACCAATGATGGTGAGGTACTCAGCGTGTGCCACTGTGCCCATGTCTCAGCGTGTGCCACTGTGCCCATGTCTCAAGATCTGTCAGCACTATACCCAGGCCAGTGAGAGAGTTGGGTTTTTACGCCGCTTTAAGCAATATGTGGGGAATCAAACCCGGGTCTTCGGCGTGATAAGCGAACGCTTTGTCTACAGGTAAACCTCCACGAACGCTTTGTCTACAGGTAAACCTCCACGACTGGCATCACTTCATGCTTTTCTTCCACCTTAACTCAACATGCCATGGTATAACTGGAATAGTGTTCAAGGCAGCTATAACCCCAACTCACAATCCAGCAGAAAGTCGGTATGAATATTATCTCACATTTATATACCAACAATCAGACATAACTTCCTACTTCCACGACCCAACAACCAAGTCATAACAAACACAAAGCCAAGATTTATTTATAAGTATTTATTTGATAACAGCTACAATATTATCATGTAAAAGTTAGGAAAATATAGAAAAGGTGGAAAGGCAAATTTCTCCCAGTCACAGTTGACTGACCACACCCAATTTGGAGGAACCTGGTCAACACTGGTAGACGATGTCACAGTGGATGCTGTTTACAACGTTGTAGTACTGATGTACCCACATGGTGTAGAGCGGGGAGGCATCAGCTGGACAAGAGTGTGGATGCCGGGGATGTCCGGCTCTCCACATGACCAGGGAAGGAGGATTGAAGTTCTACACAAATAACCAACTTAATTTAACTGGGAAAACAATTTGGGTGAATTTTACACCGCTTTCTTTCATCCGATAACCTGATGGAAAACAAAGTGCTGTTGACATAATTTCATCCTAGAAATAATTATGGCACATATATGTATTCAGTTTGTATGGCAATGTACTGCATGACTGGTGTTTCAGCTTGATGTTAAGATATTTGAAACAGTTAAACAATTCAGGTCATCCGAGCCAACTTCATTCATAAACCTTTGCTCACATGAAATAGGGATAGACTTTTGAAAATACAATCTTCTGAATGTGCTTTTAGAAAAAATTATTAAAATGAAAGTTCATCAATCAGAAAATAATCACAAAGGTTGAAAATATGTGTCACAAACTGTAGTCTTTGTTTTCCAACAAGTTGCATGCATTCCTAACTACAAGAGTTACCTCCCCACAACCTTCACACAGAACCAGCTTATACAGGCCAGCAATAACAATACTGTGAGTAGATAATGACAGGCTTGCAGCGGCAGTAGCTGACCACTCACTGACCACTCACTGACCACCAGCAAGGAAAAGGCAACAAAAGTCTCACAGTAGTTTATATACAAAGGAACAAGGCTGATATTTAATAATACACGACTTCAACCTCAAAATATAATTTCACACATACTATAATAGTGTAAATGACATCATTTGGAATGGTAAATATCAGACATCGATTTTCAATCAGAAAATGATAGACGAATATAAAGTATTATGCTTTCTACTCTACCACAACAAAGACGACTAGTTCAATGGAATTCTCCTGATCCGTACAGGTCCGATTAGGGACAATGGTTTGATTACCGCAGTATTGAGCAAAGACTGCATGGCACCAATGGGCATTTTCACAACAAAACAATGAAGAAATAAATAAAAACAACACAGTTGAGTAAAGCATAGACAGAAATCACAGGGTCTAATCATCCCTACTGCCTGACTTGCACAATGTGCAGCCAAGAGGTGAGAACAGGTTGCATTAATCTAAGCAGAGGGATGTTGCACCAAGTGCAACCACATTATCAAGTTGCACCAATGCAACCAAACAATCATTAATTGCGATTAATTGCAAACCCTATTGCACAAAGTGCAACCAATCACTAGCACTGGTCGCACTATATGGTGCAACATACACTGTATAATATTTTCTGTACCAAGAGGCTGCACACAGTTTGTGATCTAGCAGTGATTAAAGGTTAACTCAAATCATATTCTGTTCTTGTAGTTCAATACATATATACATGAACATAGGACACAAATTACACCATCATGTCCTTCAAAGAATAATTATGCAATACAATAACTTGTCATGTACTTTCAAATTATAACCTTTGCTTAATCCCCTGGATTTGATGGAATATGAAATTGTCATGAACCCTTTGGTGTTGGAAGTCCAAACTGTTATTGCACAAGGTACATACTCATAGTGAAAGCTAGTTGCTATGGATACTGGTTTCAAGCATGAAATAAAAATGTGAAATGATCCCATATAAAATTGCTGACTCATCAATCTGTGCATGTATATATACACGTGTATACCAGTACAGGTCATTGCCTAGCAACACAAATAATGCTAGAAAAACTAGAATCTAAAAAACACATCGTAAGAAATATTTCAATATTATGCTCATTCATGCATATGATAAAAGGTTTGAACACAGTCTGTGCCTACTACTCTACATACTATTATACAGGCAGATTATATGTATTTGGAAATAAACAAATTACTGTCTACAAATGTCTACCTTTAGCCTACAGAGATCTCTGGAAAGGTCAAAAACTGCGAACATTGCACATTTCTCTCAATAACATCTGACTAAGTGATGTAAAGAGAAAAGGGACTTGGAGCGACTGATTTTGAACAAAGAATCTTCATCGGTTTTACACTGCTGAATTAACCCACTCTACAACACCTTTCATGACATTAACAATCATCTGAATGATCATCAAAAACAACTTAGGTACTTAGTTTTCAAGTCAATAATACACAAGTAAATAAAATACCATGAAGGAAAGTTTCAGTTATCTAAACATCTTTACAGTTGAGTAGATGGAAATCACTTGTCTAATCATCCCTGCAGCCTGACTTGCACTATGTGCAACCAACAGGTGAAAACAGGTTCAACTAATCGTAAACAGAGGGATGTTGCACCAAGTGCAACCACTATTTTCAAGTTGCCCCAAATGCAACCATCCTGCAAAGTTAAAGTTATTAATTGGTAATCATTTATGCTATATTTTGCCAAATTAATGAGTGTTACCTCAAACTTCTTGCTACCCACCCTCTTTCAATATAACTTTTGAAAATTGAATACTGGGGTGCAAAAGAAGGAATGAAAATGAATAATATGATGATTACATGTTCAAAATCAGTACTTGGCTGCCATGAGATGGCAAGGGAGATAGCTCCAAACATTGTGATATGAGATTATCTAACAATGAATATGTTTGAGATTATTTGTAAATTTCTGAATTGTGAAATAATTACATGTCAAGAAAATATGGTGAACTCCTTGCTTGATTTCAGCTGAAACCCTTTAGGTACCAGAAATATTTTAAATTAATTTGATCTAATTATTATGACACATTTTGATTACGTAAGATCTAATTTAAAGTGAACTTTCACATAAATTTGATTAGGTTGGTTTTGATCTTTGATCTCTATAACAACAAAATATAAACAAAACAAATTCTGTAATATCATTTGGGTCAAGATCAACATTTTTCCTATCATACTGGACATTTGAATCTAGCTTAAGTTTGAAATTGTATGGAATGTTTAACAACAGCAGATCACAATTTAACAAGTTACCATGGTTACAAATTATGAAGCTGGGTAGTAATGGCTTGTTTGCGCAAAAGAATTATCCTGAAGCAATGCAAGAGAAGCGGAGAAAACTGTAATGATTGTGAACAAAGTGATGACAAAGCTCTTTTCCGGACTAAGTGTAAACAGTTTAGTCCGAAGCATTTTGCGAGGTCAACAGAAACTATATATAACATTATGTGTATACACAGTCTGTCATGCAGATCTGAGAAATGAAAATAAACCCAGATAAATATGATGTATTGACGAACCATGACGTAGACGAACACACTGCTTGAAGTGACTAGAGTATGTAACAGCTAAACCCAGCAAAAACGGTATGAAACATTATGTCTGACTTCACGACCATTCCTCTTCACATTATGTCTGATTTCACAATCACCTCCACATTATGCTCCTTGGCCATATTTTCCACAATATTGAATATTGTTAATTATGCATTATTTCGTACAATAGTTGCATGTCAAAAAAACAGTGAAACATATTTAAAATATTAATCATAGCACTTGATAAAAATGATGGATATTATCTCTGAATTATAAAAAGAATAATAAATATGCATTTTCCATATTCTTGTTGTCACATGATAAACAAATAAATAAATATCTTTATAAACAAAGGTTTATATTCAATAATCCTTGTTCAGAGTCAATATGTTTGAAACTGGACTAGCTCCACTCGATCCAGTCACGACTCGGGAGCCGTAAATCAGGGAACCGGTATTCCTGTATCTTGTCTCACCAGCTGATCATCATAAACAGTACCTCAACATGTAGTGAAACATCTTAATTGTTTATGCATCTCCAAGACGTTCCAGCCAGTTTGCTGATTTGAAAAAGTCAGGTAACGAGTCGTCCATTCTGGCAATGACCTTGTAGATGGCCTTCTTCCAAGATGGCTCGGTATCTTTGTTGGCGGATATAGCTCGGTAAAACTCTCGTAGCGTTGATTGTACCACAATCCGAAATGTCTCAGGCACCTGCAACACAAGTAAAGATACTTGACATATCTTCCAATACCCAACTTACGTTGTGCATAGTCTAAGACACCAGACCAGGTACATGAAACAGTTGTCAGTCAGCCACAGCCAGCCTAAAGACAGAGCTTAGTGTTGAATAGTAATAAATAAAATATTTAAATATAAATAAATAATATTCCCTGCTCCTTCGTTATGAGTAAAGGTTAATCATACTTAACCTGATTTTCAGTTCCATTATAGCAATGTTCAGTCTCTGTCTGGCTGGGATATTTTAGAGGAAACTAAACAATTTTAGCTCTGTGGTATTTTACAGGAAACTAAACAATTTTAGCTCAGGGATATTTTACAGGAAACTAAAAAATTTTAGCCATGTGAAATTTGTATATGCGTCATAACAAAATTAGCTCTGTGGTATTTTACAGGAAGCTAAACAATATAAGCTCTGTGATATTTTAGAGGTAACTAAACAATATTAGCTCTGTGATATTTTACAGGAAACTAAACAATATTAGCTCTGTGATATTTTACAGGAAACTAAACAATATTAGCTCTGTGATATTTTAGAGGAAACTAAACAATATTAGCTCTGTGATATTTTAGAGGAAACTAAACAATATTAGCTCTGTGGTATTTTACAGGAAACTAAACAATTTTAGCTCCGTGGTATTTTACAGGAAACTAAACAATTTTAGCTCTGTGATATTTTACAGGAAACATACCTATATTAGCTCTGCTAATTTCATACTTAAATAAATTTAAATTAGCCTGGGGATATTTCACAATAAACTAAACTTCATAAGATTAATGATATTAAATAGGTATGTCTTACACATGCAGGACAAATTATGGTAATCTCAGGGAATTCCTAAATATCCTCCCGTCAGTATATCATATTTACAACCACTATGTGACCATGATGCTTGCATCTAACACTAGTATACTACCCAAAGAAGCTGACATCACACTGTGAAGTGTAACAAACTACTTTCGCTAAACAATGTCTCCCACGTTTGTTTGCCCTACAGTTCTGTCCCTATTTCTAAGGATGTTTGAAGTTTAGAGACAGCCATTCTTTATTCAAGGAATGAATAGCTAAGATGACAATGGCATGCAGTGATTAACCATGCCCTTCTTCAACAAGGGCTGCTCGAATGAACAGCAACAAACCCATGCACTGTTGAGCCAGTGACGCTGTTCTGAAAAGGTCACTATATAACTCATCCTTGTTATCAACCAATCAAACATATAACTAGATTTATTTTGGGAAAAATTATTTAGTGAACTGTTTGTGAGCGTGTGTCCTGTCCTGGCTGACCCTGTGTTGAGTAATGAAGCACTCTCAACACAGGTGAGCATCACACCTGTGATAAACGATTTCATTCATGACTTCAATGACAAGACGTGGTCTCCAACTGGCCATCTTCTGCCTGAGTCGTAAGTGATTTCTCATGTTCCGCCATCGCATCAAAGCTCAGTTATTGAAGGAAGTGGTGCGAGACGGCTCCAACAAAGAACCAACGTCCACACACAAGAAATTAATGAGAAACCTACATAAGCTAAAGATGACAGAATAATGTGTGCATTAAGCGACTTGAAAAACTCACAAACTCTCTGATTGCGAGTTGTATTGTGTCAAGTCCACATGCCTGAAAGGTTGCTTTAAAGACAATTGTCCGATCGATCATTGTTAGTCTTAGTAGGAGGAAAGTCATGTAAGTAGTCATTGATGTGGATTGACGATGCAATCTGACATCGTGCAGGCCGTTGAGGTGGCCGTTATTGACAACAATCTTTGATTGAAGGGCAGTCATCTTACATGCATCCAAAGGGTAGGCAACAAAATGGCTGGGGTTCTACAAGAGATATCTAATCTTGTTACGCAGAAATCCTCTTAGCTGGGAAGCTTGGCGTTACACTGCTTCAACTGACTAAATGTCTTAAGTGGATACTGAACTGTTACATCTCGCAACAACCTCACATTACTGAAGAACATGGCCCATTTTTTTATCCCTATTTTTCTTTTTTATCATTACAGTATTTTTACCTGTCAACTCTAATTCTATTCTTTCATAAGAATATAAGTCCTCTTCTAGCTCAAGGAATAATCTTGTTGATTTTCATAAAAAATATCGACATCATTTTCTTTGGGACTTTGGAATCACTGACAGGATTATGGAATATTTTGTACTTATTTCCTCATGAAGAACAAAGATGCTATTTTAGAATGTTAATCTTCCTCCAGGAATTAGAGACACAGGAAAAATTGGCCATTATGTAGGACCAGTCTAGTTTCTTTTTTTCTGCCTATATTAAATCCCATGAACAAAATAATTTTGTTTAACACATATTTGCTTAATTTTTATTTTACAAAAATACTCTTTTTTATTTTTATTAGACAGATAACCTTAAATCACCCCTGATTATTTTCCCTATTTGACTCTGCCGCGTGGTGTTTGAGCAAGAAACTATGCAAAACAAGGAATCATAATGATTCTAACAAAAACAAGCAGATTGTGAATGTAAATGGTATATATAGAATTAAATTCAAATGACCAATACAATTCTATTATTGGCAAGAATAATCTATTAGCTGGTCATTTTAGAAAACATCTGCACCTCACCTTACGACAGCCATAATAAGTTATGTTATTCTGTTTAAGAAAATTTTGGAGAATAATTTTTTTAAATTACAGAAAGACAAAACAAATCCCTATGACATGTGGAATGGTATTTTGTACATCAAGATGTAAATACCTCAATCTGGTTGTTTCGGTTATAGTGGAGATTCAGGACACGATAGAGTTCTGAGTCTGCAGTCACTACAAGGTCCTCGATATGCTTGCATCCTTCCGCGATTGACTGACGAGCAAATTTCTCCATTTGGATATAGTAGAACTCTCTGAAAATAAAGGAAAACATTTAAAAAAATATGTTTCAATCTATCAACAGTGCCAGCATTATTAATGCTACACCAATATAATTTGGGTTTTGATTATTGTACACGTAAATTGCTGTTATAGAAGTCTCTTTATATCTTTTTTTACAAATCATTCATAAATTACAAAAATAATTTAATTTCTTTATAAAAAATATGGAATGGTTTTATAAACAGTAAAATAATTGGTTATAATTCAACATTGCTCTGCATGGTGATTCAATGTGAGTGTTTTGTGTAGGTTACACATCAGTGTAGAGTGCTACAATTTATTCAGGTCTACTAAGCCCAGAAGTAGTTGATGAGACTCAGTACTTCTGTAAGCAGCTTGTATGACAAGTAACAGTATCCAAGGCAGGGCAACAAGTCAAGACCAAATGACGGGACACAACTCCCTCTGACAGCCAGGACAAAGTTAAGGACAGACTGGAATTAATCTCAATTAAGTGATAATTTTCCCTCCTCGCTTCCATGATTATACTTGATAGGGGAAGAGACATTTAACGGACATTATTTCTCTGACTGCAGCCTCTCAAGCCTCCACACAATGGTGGTGGAATTGTCTCCGCTAGCGATTAGCCCCCGCTTGTGTTTGAGCAGGGTTCTGAAGGAGAGCGGTACCCAACAAGTCCGCCTGGGAACTATGGCGTTGACATTTATCATTTCCTTCTGGCCTTTCAAATTCAAGTTCATATTTCATGAGAGAGAGGCCCTGCCGACGAGATGAGGGTCGACTTAAAACTGATTATCATTAATATAAGAAGCGAATACAGGGCTTGTATTGCCAGGGTCTCCCCCAGATAACACTTCCTGATAGCTTCTCTCCCTGTTAGGGCACAAGCAAGTATGGAGAGGCCTTCATATTGACATCATAAAATGCTAATCTTTTCCTACATGGTCCAATTATTCAATATGAGAGCAGACATTTTATCCCCGGCCCACATGGGCCTAAGTGTCGCCTCTACCGTTTGTCTGACTGAGATGGGGGGTTAATGACAGAAGATCTGTGCCGAGCAAACAAAGGGGTCTCTCTAGGAGAATATGGCTAGTCGCACAAATGCAGGACACACAGCTAATAGCGGTATAATCGGTGCAATTCGAGAAATGTTCCTGTCAAGAGAAATTCACAGAAATGAGTATTAATATCAGAAATAAAGTAGTGGTGAATAATGCAGGGGCATTAGGACTGGGAGTAGAGGAGTTGGTTCTTCTGTAAAAGAAGCATGTCTCGGATGGTGTACATACTGAAGCAGAAAAAGACACGTAATTTCACACTGTCACATTATCCAACACAGTCACATTATCCTTCAGTCATATTGTCCAAGTCCCATTATCCAACAGTCACATTATCATACACAGTCATATTGTCCAAGTCCCATTATCCAACAGTCCCATTATCCTACAGTCAAATTATCTAACAGTCACATTATCCTACAGTCAAATTATCTAACAGTCACATTATCCAACAGTCACATTATCAAACAGTCACATTATCAACAGTCACATTATCCAACAGTCACATTATCCAACAGTCCCATTATCCTACAGTCAAATTATCTAACAGTCACATTATCGAACAAAGTCACATTATCCAACAGTCACATTATCCAACAGTCACATTATCCAACAGTCACATTATCCAACAGTCACATTATCCAACACAGTCACATTATCCAACACAGTCACATTATCCAACACAGTCACATTATCCAACAGTCACATTATCCAACACAGTCATATTATCCAAGTCCCATTATCCAACAGTCCCATTATCCTACAGTCAAATTATCTAACAGTCACATTATCCTACAGTCAAATTATCTAACAGTCACATTATCCAACAGTCACATTATCCAACAGTCACATTATCCAACACAGTCACATTATCCAACAGTCACATTATCCAACAGTCACATTATCCAACAGTCACATTATCCAACACAGTCACATTATCCAACAGTCACATTATCCAACACAGTCACATTATCCAACAGTCACATTATCCAACACAGTCACATTATCCAACAGTCACATTATCCAACAGTCACATTATCCACACAGTCACATTATCCAACACAGTCACATTATCCAACAGTCACATTATCCAACAGTCACATTATCCAACACAGTCACATTATCCAACAGTCACATTATCCAACACAGTCACATTATCCAACAGTCACATTATCCTACAATCACATTATCCTACAGTCAAACTATCCAACACAGTCACATTATCCAACAGTCACATTATCCAACACAGTCTCACATTATCCAACACAGTCACATTATCCAACTGACTGACTGAGTTTGGTTTTACGCCGCTTTTAGCAATATTCCAACAATGTCACGGCGGGGGACACCAGGAATGGGCTTCACTCATTGTACCCATGTGGGGATTCGAACCCGGGTCTTCGGCGTGACGAACCAACGCTTTAACCACTAGACTACCCCACCGCCCTCACATTATCCAACAGTCACATTATCCTACACAGTCACATTATCCAACACAGTCTCACATTATCCTACACAGTGACACCATCCTACACATTGTACGTTCAGTACTAACAGATGTTGGAAGTCAATGAGTGATTCATTGTACAGTGCCAGTAGACACTTTGAATACTTCTCATAAATTCACAAACTGTCTAATCTGTCAGTGTACTTTCACTATGTCCTCATTTACTCCTCATTCAGGTACATCAATACATTTAGAATAAAACAATTTTGATTAATCAGAAAGCTAATTAAGTTTGAGGCAGTCTCTGGATGACTTTCATGTTGTGTGTGAAGGTAAATGGCACATCCAGTCTGGCATTCCCTCAGACATAACCTTTACCATCATTCATGCAAATCAAATCAATTTTGACTAAATGATCATGTGACCATTCAAGGTAGCAGGTGCTCCACTAGCACAGTGCCTGATACTGCAAGTTGTCTCCCTTACATGCATATCTAGGAAAGAAAATCAATAGAACAATTTTTTTCGATCTTCATGGTTTCATGAATAGTGTTGAAAACCAATAAAAGGTGAATAGAATGTTTGCTTGTCAGCTGGTTCAGGCCCTATCTCGATACCTTCAGACCCAGTTTCAATACAGCAGGAAAACACAGCATCCCTACAGATACATGTTTGTTAAACACTGCACAGAGAAAGGGAACTTCCTTATGCTCAAGAATATGCCCCATGGTTTCCTCTAGGAAGTAACACACAAGGCTCGTCAGTTGACCTTGCAAAATATATACTGCTCAAAAAAACATAAACAGTTGATTTGGTTTCCTAACTATAGTCAATCAGTCATGATTACAATTAGTCTACTTTTTCCATCTAACTATAATTTATCTATTAAACTACCACAACATGACAGATTAACTTTCATCACATGAAAAAAATCAACTTATTTTTAGTAGCGTGTAAAACCAGGCTTTTTCGTAGCACTTGTATACCAAAGGTTCTGTCAATGTCTACCATGGACATCCGCGAGAACAACATTTTCAAAAATAAGCTTGAACACTGAATTGTTTACAAAGGTGAGAGACAAGAGCAACATTTTACATTGCTTCCTATTCCATCCTTCCAGCATCTGTATTATGAAACCTGCGGCTGAAATTCAACACAGGTTCTTCACCAATATAATTATGATAAAACAGAAATTGTTAATTCAAAACCAAGCCCACTAATTAACCTTCACTATTGATGTCTGTTACGATGTACACTGTATTCAGACACGTGAACTCTATGTGTGTTTATGATCATAAGTTGACATTAACTGGCCGTTTACATGCTGTTGGCACATTGTGGGATATCCTCAACTCTTTACTGGAGCCCGGGGACCCGTTTCACAAAGCAGTCGTAGCGCTACAACAGTCGTAAGTCTATGTTAAAGTGTGGGAGCTACGATCACTTTAGAGCTACGACTGCTTTGTGAAATGGGGCCCTGCTCAGAGTTAGTACTGGCTATCTGAACCTTCAACAAAATTCCCATTTTTATAGTTTTGTTTATGATAAATATCATACATAAACTATGAAAATTTACATTATACAGACTGCACTTTCAATGCAAAGACAATAAAATAATGAAGTTCTTTATTTCTAACGATAATGTTTAAAAAAGCTCTTGAGTGTTCCTTCACAAAAAATATCAGTTATATAATTTGATCAAGGAAGAATGAATACTCCAAGGTTTCTGTGTGGGTAGCTTGCCGGTTGGTCATGGTTCAAATGAAGCAGGTTTATCTTGAGAATTTAGAACACCACGGTGATAGCAACTAAATAAGAATAAAACTAACTAACATCAAGTGCTTACATGAGCTAAAAATTTGAAAACACTGGTCACAGAGATATTCAGCATGGAAAAACACTAGACTTCAGTATGAACTTCGTGTGTTTTGATGTGACGATAATTTTTCTATAGTTTCATGTACCAAGTAACTATTTGAGAGACTCTTTCAAGTTTCCACCAAATTATATTAAATATTTATATATACACAAGCTTTGTTATGAAACAAGTATTTTTAATAATCGAGACACAACGACAGAGATATATGTCATTTAGTCTCTCATGAACAATGCCACACATATGTGATATGACATCTTTGAAATTCTCTCTTTAGAGGTCATTTGAGATTAATAGATTTGTTTTTAAAAATACATTTCAAGAGAGCAGAACAATGATTATTGATGGAAACTGTTTTAGAAAAAATAAAACAGGTTTGAATGAAATCTCAAAGTTCTTCTCTTTCGCTCCTCCCAGAGTGAGGGGCTTGACAACATACAGGTATAGAAGTGCCCATCACAACACCATCTGTCCATATGTAATACATGTGTACGATAACCAAAAACTGCTGCCCAAATACAGACACTGGGACAGGGCCACAGGCAGACGTGGTTTAATCCGGATGTTTGCTTTTAAATCATATGGAAAAATATGAAGGGTGACCAGAGTTGAGAGATTTATGAAGGTAGCAACACCTTCTGGACCCAGTTTATACAGTATTATATCCGCACACCGTAACAGGTGGACAACGATCCCAAAATCTATATGCGTAGGACACTGAGAATTAATATCCTTGTCAAACAAGATATGTATCTTAAGACACTTATCAACATGTGCTATTCTGTCAACAACATAGATGGTTACAAAATTATTTGGCCCAAGAGATGACTTCCTTTCTAAAGCGGCCATCTGATTTCTACTGTTTGTATTACTATCTGCCTCTCCCCAACAAAATCATTAATTGTCAAGAGACAGTCGCCACCATTAATTACCATGAATTAGATGTGGCATGAATGAATGATGGGGTTTGGTGAAAAATACAGAGCAGATACAATGGATCGGTTAATAAAATGGGAAAACGTTAAAAAGGGAATTTGAGTCTTCTCATAAATTTAAACTTTTTCTTACATGCAGCAGATGATACACACTCTGGGAGGACAACAAAATGAACTGAAAAACATGTTATTGAAATATGAACTGCTGACATGAGTCACCTGACTTGAGAGTTTGGTATAGATTTGTTCAGTGTTTGTTCAGCAACAAAGGTGACTGATGATAGAAGTGAATGTATGTACTGATCGAAGTATTCTACAACATCAATATCATATCCTTCTGTAGTAGTGAATACCTTCAGCTTGAACTCAAAATGTAGGGCTGAATGTCATCAGAATTCATAAATATGTTCGGCAGAATAATCCGCATTATTTCCCCTGCAAATTTCACATGAAACATCCTGCATACCATCAACACTGAAGTTGAGCAACAATTCAAAATCTAATCTCTTCGCATATATTTGAATAAATGGTAAAATAGAAGCTAGGCATATTTGCATTTCCATATAGTCATGCTGATCATCTTGTGTGATGACAAGAATGTGTGGTCTGGTTGGTTTATGGGACTATATACGAGATGGCATGGCCTGGAGAAACTTGATACGACATGTCACAGATGTGCAGGCCATTGTTGCTTCAGGACTCAGAAAGTGCCATGTACAATTTATGAATTCAACACCTTGGCATTCAGGAGAAACTTACACAAACATTAAATGAAATTGTTTTCATGGTTGAAAGCACAAATCTAATTGACCAACAATATCATTTTATACATTTTTTATCAAAGGAAGCTCCACAAAATAACGGGAAATTACTTTCATGGATGGATGCAAAAATACAACTGTGTTCAAAATAGTAGATTATTTAATTGAAGAATAAATTACATAAAATGTCAAGTTTGAATATGTGTTCAAACCATTACTACAAACATGCATGGGAAGATCTCCAGTTAGCACACCTCGGAATAAGCAAACCATGTGTTCTTTGTCGGACTTTCCTGGTTTAATATTGAGTTCATTTAGGTTTTTGTTTTGCTCCATTGTGAACTGGGTATAGCTACAGATAGAGTTGTTTGCCAAATATCTACCAAATCTACCCCTCTTTTGCTTTGTGGGTCGTCAGCTCAAATGTGACCCTAGTACACCAATACATTTTCTTTTACACATAAATGTAAATGAATAGACAAATTATACATGAGAGTAGTTTACAGACTAGTAGTACCATATCATACCCCCTCCATGGTTGCAAATCAGTTTGTGTTTTCAGCTCCAATATGGACTGACTCACCATTACATAAGGAAATTATAGCATAAAGATATGTTATTCATAACATCAGTAACATGTTAACCAGCTTTGTACAGACTATTTGAAATATATGACAATCTTATCTCTGGAACTTACTGTCAATTTGATATGAATAACTACAAAGTGTGAGCACTTTTTACGATCTTTGTAAGTTTCCTGAGGCCCTGAACTGGCATTTTTCAAGACCTGGTATAATATACCTAAAATGCTTTATTTCCACACAAAACTATCTCTCACCTTTTGCTTTAAGATTCATTCTTTCTGAACTAAACTCATTCCTGTTCCTGATAAAGTATATTGAATTGTCCAACCCTTAATCTATTTACCTCGTGCAGCAAATCTCAATACATGGAAAGCCATTCTTCTCACTGCTTATCTAATAACACTATTTGCGTAATATTTTCCTAATGCCCGTCATCGATGAGTTATGGTCAGGCAGACATTATTGTTGCGTATCACACACCCTTACATTTGTAGCTTTGTCATATCAATTGTAGCCAATCTAATTCCTCCTGCTAACGTCTTGCAGGGAAGCATTTATAGTTTTTTAGGGTTATGATAGATTAGAATATCCCACATAAAAATATGAACTGACTGCAAAGTTTTCATTAGTATTAGTCTTCATCTGATAGCATCTCCAAGCTATCATTTTCCTCCATAAACACGGTGATCTAAGACATATTACTTCAGACATAATAACAGGATATTATTTTCCGCACGATCATTTCGCGCATTCTTAACAGTGGTGTTTAAATCGGTTTAACATTCAACTTCATCATTTTGCTAAATTACACACATTCCTGTAAGATGAACAAATGCCACACTTTCTTTTTCTCAAAAATTTAACACTACACCAGAATTTGATTACATTTCCTGACGGATTCCCGAAACATGTTACTTATTCAGTAAAAATTGTTTAAGTGACAGATACCAATTCATATCTTTCCCATTCGGAATGGAAATTAAAGATAGATTTATTTAATATTTTAACAATTCAGTGAAAAGATACACTGGATCACTAATACCTAACACAAGTCACATTTTGAAACATTCCGTTTAACATAAAAACTCAGAAAGTTAATCTTTGGTTTATTCTTGTGTACAGAGCCCTGGGGGGCTGAGTTTACACAAGAAGGTCATCACAAAGTTGATTCGAGGTTAAGAGTTAATTCTGTTTCATTTTGTACCTGTTCTCAAGCCTGACCAGGTAATGAGACTGGGGTCAGGGCCAGGATTACAGGTAAGAATACAGCCTCACTTTGCTTGGTTTCAGAGGGTGGGGGTTACCTGTTGCTTGTCACTGTGGCAGCTCATTGCGAACAAGACTTTGGGGATACTCGGGATTGATGGAGCCCTACTCTAAATACATAGGGTGTAAACACGTTGAAACAAGCATTAAGAGAAACACGTTATGTACACAAAAGTTAATTCTCTCTTCTGTGTACTCTGACTGATTTAGCCTCTTGCCCACACAAGAGCTCGGCTGAGACCAGCCACACACCTCACACAACATGTGTCGAATGCTTGCAAGCAATCGACACACCAATTAACTTCCTCTCATATCAGTCTTAAAGACTTCATTTAATCGTGGGAGCTAGCGAACAGAGCATTTGGGAGCCAGTGAACGGAGCATTTCAGAGCCTTGACAGAACCTCAGTTAAAGGGGGAGAAAGATGATTGGAGGACGAAGCACATGGCCCATCTTGAAACGCTGATTAAGGGGGACAATACGCAATCAATAACCAAATGATATCAGTCTTTTCCAATTCTTGTCTGCAATCATCAAATCACACAGGGCCTCAAATGGAACTTTGTAATGCATTTCTCTATGGAGAAAATACATTAAAGATATGAGAATATGAAAATTTAATGTACATTAGAGAAAGTAAATGCCTCTACAATAGCTCTGACTTGACTTTGATGGGGAGACCGAGAGGTTTGTGAATCAACGTGGACAGTCTACGGAGAGAGATCGCCCTTCAGCTTCAGCTCACAATACCCAATTCCAATCTCATACAACTTTACAAATATTAGACTAGGGTGATTAAGATGGAGTGAGCAAACACTCGCATGATTTATAGATACATTGTTGCAGAGCGATAATGGCCGGATAACAATCCTAGCCATTACCTCTCATCACTGTCATCAAAGGAGACAGAAAACCAGCGCGGCCTCTAGGACTCAAATCATATTTGCACCATTAATATTTAAGAAATATGCATTCTCAGGAGCAGGGTAGTGCATCGAGGGGCTGGTTGAGAAGCATGGCATATTTGTACAATATCTCCATCACTATCTGGGGGTGGTACTGGGACCAACTGTCTCCTCATCCAATCTGTATGCCCCTGGGGACACCAACAATTGTGGCTCTCGAGGACAATGCTGGTTATTATACATAATTCCTGCACCACAATGGCTGTCTTTGTGTGCAGGAAGGCACCACTACCTGTGTCTATGGTTTAGCTATCCACTGATTCAACCATTTGTTGCATTTCGCTAATACCCTGTGCAAGTTCATTAAGGACTTAAAGACCATATCGTTTGAGTGGCCTGGCTGCAATTAAACTCTGTCTTGCACAATTTCCTACCGCAATCCAATTCCAAATATTTGCCTGTTCTGAGTTCTCATGACACTTCATTTACTGCTATCAAATCTTTGCATTGCAAATTTCTTCCCTTTGTAATGAACAAAGCAGACCAAATTCTCATTTAAATGAGTAATGGTAGGAGCTATCTTTATGATATTTCCTGCCCATTAACTACAGCCAAGTTGCTGAAATGCAGACACCCAAATCAAAAGAAACTGAAGAATGCCCATATCTAATATTGAGTCACTGGCACGACACGATGGACAGGAAGGAGTCACAAGTGTGTGCATGCATGCATGCACTCTCTTATATAATTGAGTGCATTAACCTTTCCCTTAACAAAAAGGAAATGCGATTTTTTCAAATGCATCAGGTTGTCGAAAAATGCCCAGATCATTAGAAAATTACATCCTCATTACAGCTAGCTATAGTCCTTAACCCTTCAATTTTTTTATGATTTTTAAAAATGTCCCATCAAATATAAACATATGCAAGAAGATGTGTGATGCTGGAAAAGTTAGGTGGAAATATAATGTTAGATATTGAACAAGTTTTCACTTACCTGAAGTTGCTGAACCATTTGACTAATTGGGCAGTGTTGTTTTTGTTGAACTTGATGTCTGGGAAGTAAATCTTGAGAATTGCAGAACTTGGGTAGCGCACGAAGAAAAACATCAACTTGGCTTTCCGTAAGTGCATGGGTGTTAGATTACTGGTGTAGGATCATTAAGGAACATAGATATAATCAAAAATAATCAAGCAAATAAAATTATATTTTGTTGGTTGAATGCATTGTACCTCCAAATTACAAAGATCATGAAGTACAACCATGTCTTCAGAAGGTGAAGTAGTACCGTCAAGCCAACATATTACAATCCCTACTTACACTGCACTTTCTGCACACAAGCCTACTTCATCTTATTATAATAGAAAGAATAACACCCTTCTTTCTTCATAGAGAAAAGGTTATTTCTATTTTTAACTTGAAACAAATACAAGTACTCTACTTTGTGGATATAATTCACATGCTTGTATTTGTCACAACAATTAGGCATTTGTCGAAATGACAGAACACTCGTTACAATCTGTAACTATTATCTACAAACTTAATGCCTGTATATTTTTTTATGGTAATAGCTCTTAATATTTTAGATCCTATTAGATCCTATTAATAACACTTTCTACATGGTATGTTGAGAAAAATAAACAATTGTTTCATTTGAAAGGTTCTGTTGCCCATTACGTACTGAGAATGTACTGAGAACCAAAATAGCATGTTACATAATATCATGCAAGAAAATATCATAGAAGGATATTTAATACACAACCAGGAATCTGAATTTGAAACAAAATATTTGCAGAACAGACAGTACATCTTTAAACAGTGGACATTATTCCATACCTCCGTAACTATGGCAATGCAGAAATTCTGCTTACATTGTTCCAGGGAGCTCAGTTTTCTGAGAGTCATGTAAAACATGCATTGGTCACATTTTGAACAATTTCAGAACTTTTCAACAACTTGCAAAATATTATTTCTGTTTTGTCTTTATGGAAATTAGGTACTGTATATCTAACAAATTCACACTATCTACAGATGTTTTTCCAGCAAAGACAGACTTTCAAATGATTAACTCACATTGGCATTTTGATCTAATTTAAATGTTCACAATTTCAAACTTATAAATTTTATCAGGGATTTATTCCTGAAAAGAGTTTTATTGAGGTAGAAATATTAAATTAAAGACAGTTTTTATTCTATCCTTTCATCTATTAAATAATTTCAGCTGAAAGGTTTCAAACGACTAGTGTTAACCTTCTAGTGCTATCAACAGCACTATCAAGCCATAGGTACATGCTAAACTGATTCATAAATGTCAGTCTCACTGTATAATATTATTAATTGTTAAAATTATTCCATCAAATCGCAACCAAATCAATTAAAAAATAACACTATATATTTCAGAACACTTCAGTATTTGAATAGCTTTCCACACAAAAGAAAACAATTAACAGTCCCGTTTGCAACAAATACTAAATGCTTGTGTTATGGATCAAAGTGTTCTCTTTAGCATTGCAGTTTTATTAACACCCTCCTGCATCAACAAAATGGCTGCTTGTAGCATCCTAGTGGCTGTTCATCTACAACAGCACTGAGTAAATAGTTTCACCAAATCAATATAAATATCTCTGTCTGAACAATGGTAGCAGATTTCCTTGTGCATGTTCTATTGGACTCTATCAGGTCAGTTTCTATGCTTCACTTCTTAAGTTCATTAAACAAGAGGACAAGCAATAACATTTATTGATATGGTCATAATTAAAAGAGCCCATTTAAAAGGCTCCCCCACTCCCATATCGCTCCATATGTGAAGAGCAAATCATCTCAGTGACAAGCGTTAAGAACAACTGTTACCAGAGATGCTGTATCCCGTCAGGGCTGGAGGTGTGCTACAGTTCTACCCACCCTCATCAGCCAATAAGAACACAGGAACAGGGAAAGCTACCAAGCAAATCTGAAACTGGGATCTCGACCATTATTGCCTATAGGTTGTGACGTGTTGAAATAAACACACCAACCCTCAACCTGTTACCAAACCTCATCACGGCATTGTAGACAAGACGGATAGTCCGCTCTCTCAAGTGTAACAGTCTCTCGAAGCAATTAACTACACCCATACCTCACTCGTACAAGCCCTGCGATATGACGGCACGGCTGTGCTAGGATATTAGAAATGAAACAAAAGATGCTTAAAGTCCAGCTGTTGTCGAGCGACTAAATTAAAGTGACAGTTCTGCTTATCATCCTGTTCCTCTTATTATCGTTGCGTCTGTTGGTGGGACTGGCTTGCCGTGATCGCTCAACTGTGGCAGTACATTTCATATCTTCAAAGTTCATATTTCCATAACCATCATCATTGAGTCTTTGAATATCTGCATCTAATTCCGATGTAGAGTTGGCAGACTTGCGACCACGTGTTTCAGTATCTGGCTTGCACACTTCACTGACTACCTCAAGCTGTTAGTACTGTCGACTTCAGATAAATTAAAACTGCATATATATGAGAAAATATGTTGTGTGTGATGAAACAAAAATACGAAAGCTTTGTGATGTACAAGATAATATATGAGTCTAGTACCGTTATCTACGTTCCTATTAACCATACCACAAGCTGTCTCCTATACCTTGACAGAAAATTACAGAAAAACATTTATCTTACTTGTAAATTGCAATAGTCGAGTTGCATAGATCAACATGAATTAATAACTATCAATGCAGTACAAGTTCAATGTGTTGATAGAACCTAACCTTTGTAGCTGTAATGGTTTGAAATTGTAATATCTACCTGTTTATATAACATCTTTTCGGAGAGGGTTTGATTGAAAAAGCTTTTGTTCTGCCAAACAACCCTAGTCTTCTTCAATGCTTATTTGCCTTCAGCAATAAAATAACTGATGACAAAAAACTCTTTGTTTAATGAATTTTAAAAATATTTTGAATTCTCATACATATTTAAAAGTAACCAAAAAATAACAAAACATTAATTAAAAAAAACGAAAAATGCCTCACATATTGAAACAAGAATGATTTACGAAACAATAACAATGTCATTCTAAATCTTGTCAGTCTGGAAAGAGATTCTGCTTTATGCCATAGCATCTGTCCTATATTGGCCACTGAATGTATAACAGTGATGAATGACAATAAGACCTCCAGAAGAAAACAAGCTGCTTGCATTGTCAATCGCTATCACTGTCTATTTCTCAGCTTTGACAACTGTCCTAACTCAAGTAACTACTGATATTGATCAGCATTGTGTGCAACACACACACACACCTTCTTGTAATTGTACAGTTGTCTCTAATTAAGACCGGCAAGCAGGTAGCCACCTTTGTTTAGCCCCTTGGCCAAGGAGAAATGTAATTATCTGCTTTTGTGGAGATCTACCTGTGACATTGCAAGGCATTATGGGACAAAAGTGATTTCCAGATGCTGTGCACGAGTTGGCTATTGTGGTGTGAATATTTCCAGGGAGTTTACCCACCATTAGAACGTGAAGAGATTCCAATAATCACATACCAGCCGGTAGCTTATGATCAATGGGGAGCATTTGTGGAATATAACTTGAACAGAAAGGGCTTTGTTGTCTAATGTTGCTGACATGTAATGACACTTGTTGTAGTGGAGTTACACTGTACACTTACACAGATACGTTGTTTATTTGTCTACTTGTAACACCTGCCATGTGACTTGGGGCCGGAGTCAGTACTACCTTTATTCCCCATAATTATTCTCCCACTACAGTAAGATGTAATTTGTACACAGTCAAAAGTGTTTTAACATTTTACAATTTTTCCTTTCTAACTTCATGCTAATTGTTATCAAAATTGTAAATTATTGGATAAGTAAAATAAGGTCAGATAATGCAGAGCATGATTAAATAATTCAAACAGTTCAGAAAATGTGTGGTCTCGCATTATTTGAAATTAAGTATGTTTTTAATTTCTTCTGTAAATTGACAATTTTCAATTTGATTCAAATTTCATCCATTTCAAAATTAATTGCTCCACAAACATTTGTAACCAAATCTTACATTATATATACATTGTCTTTAAGTTTCGTATTACTCCAAACAACATTAAAATCCGTCATGATTCCCCTTGCCATAAAAGGGTTTGGTCTACCAATGATAGCCTTTGGACCATAATTCCGCGTTGTACACCAAAAACACTACATGAAAGATGAAACACTTAGATTGCCAAGATATTTCCGTTATATATGAACATTAAATATGCATTACAATATCACCAAATGGCTGAGACACTATTCCTTTGCTTAAGGATAAATTCCTAAATGCTACCAAGATACAATAAAATGTAAATCTTTTGTTCTTAAGATATTTCGCCATCATAAAATTTCAAAATTAGCTTTTTATACGCTGATGTGTTTCACAATACCAAAAACAATTAATTTAGAATATGACACTTAAATAACTAAGAGAAAGTCTTGCCTTGCAAGGATTTGCATTTCAGGCAAATGCCGAATCCATATTTATTGATTGATAAAATGAAATATCATCCCTTTTTTAGTTTTTATGAGATTATCATTGATTATTAACTTGATCAAAAGAGGTTATAATTGATAAAGAATCTGAAACAGTTAATTGCTCGGTTACAAAACTGATGGCTGAATCATAGAGCTCTGCATGAAATCTTTGTCGAAATCAAGGTGAGAAATGGGTGGGGCCATATTTCAATTACTAGCTGAGAAAGGCACAAGGCAGATTTGATCATGCTCCACGCGCTGGGACAGAAGGGTATCAGGTTGCTATCTTCACGCTTCTGATGAGAATGAAAACAATGAACACAAAGGCAAAATGCACAACTCATTAATGTGAAATGCTACCAAATCAATGGAGGTAGAAAAGCCTTCGACATGGTTCAACTTAAGAAGTTGCTGGCACTGTACTACCACGCAGTCTTAATGTATTTCTCGTGTTTTCCATCACGGGTGGTGTTACCTGTCTATCGCTTCCACAAAAGATGGCGGACAAGGGGAAATCACGTAGGAAATTATGAAATCTTAGCCGAACAAGGGCAAAGAAAAATTGCATCTGCAGGAAAACAAAGCATTTCTCTACTTGATGAGTCTAATGGCTTCTACCGTTAATGTAGCCTATTGTGTTCCGCATCTGAGAAGTGAACCGCGTTAAAATGATCTTCAAGCTTTTATCTTTCTCGCACAAACAAAACGTTGTTTGCTCGCAGGAAACAGCTTAATCAATTTAAGTATTTTCATTTACTATCCTATAATTACTCCCTCAGATATCAACAGATTTTGATTTGATAAAATATCACATTATGAAAATGAACTTTCCGATTTTTCTTGTGAGAATTAAGTGTATTGATTTTATGGAGTACAGCTTGATGGCAATGTTTGTTAAAGAGGCCAGTAATTAGACAAAGGTCAGTTTATTTGCTGGGTCACTTTTTCCTCAGTAACAGCTAGCCAAGTAACAATCTCACACTTTTAACTATCATAAATAGTAAGAAAGATGTTTTCATTACATGCCTTAATTTGCTACAGCAGAAAATGACAAGGTTTATTCAGTTATTCATTTGAAATTCAGAGAATTTATGAAAACTACTTTTCTTAGAACCACTTGCTTACTTCCCCTGAATGACCTTTGAGAACTGTCATGGTTATTCTACTGAATAAACTGAGCCCTATCGAACACAATGATTAAAGAAAATACAGCTGAACTGGAAATGGATTCTTAGAAAGCTCAATTTTAGATTATTAAATATACTTAATTTGTATTAATTGTATGTGAAAATACTAAACACGTGCCTAAATTAACCAAAAAATTAGCGAGATGATTTTGGGGGAATTAAAAAATTACTCAATAGTCAAAACACCTACTTGTTTCATATCCCAAACATAGAAAATGATGTTCATGACGTCAGTCACTGGACTGTCAGACAAACTGGCATCATGGAGTTTGAATATTGATGAATGCGACTTTAAACAACGAACAACACCGTTTTTGTAAAGGATATCATTTGCATCTGGCCATCCATATCACTGCTGGGAGACACATCATACATGTCCGACTTCCCCACGTGGGAGAAGGCATCGGAGGGGGACCGCGGGGAGCCAGAGTCATTGGGCGGAGAGTGGCTATGTAGGCGGTGATCCGGGAAACAGTTATCCCGTAGCGTACTAAAGGCGAGAATGTCTGACTGCTGAAGCCCAGGGTTCGGTATGGCAACACTTGTTGGTAACATCGGTGGCAGGAAGTGAGGATATGACTGGAAATGTCGTTCAAGGTCGAGGTGATGAGACGAGCTCGGAGTGCTGTCCTGAAGAAGGGCGGCTTTAGCTCGAGGAGAGAGACGTGTATCGGTGACTTTTGTACGTTTTTTCTTCGGGGTGTTGACTATGAGAGGAAGTGCCTCTGTCTGTTCGGGTTCCTGCGCATACAGAGGTGGCAGCACCTGTGTCGGCATGTAATAGGGAAAATGAGGGAAAGGCACATGAGGAGGAACATGTTGAGAACGAGCTAAATCATTGTCTCTGTTAATTGCTTCAAACGCACTCAGCTTCTCACCAAGCCTGCCCAAAGAGGCATCAGAAAATAGATCAGATTTGGGGGTAGTGTTGTTGCTCTTGCGTTCAGGTGTCGGAGCCTGGATAACCTTCTCCGCCTCCTCCACAACTGGTTTCTTAGTTTCGACATTGTCTTTTACAACATGTTTTTCAATCATCTTGCTCATCACATTTTCCACCACTTTGGTAATGGCTCCAATTATTTCAGTTTTTAATGAGTCCATCACACTCTGCATGTCCCCTACATGTTGAACCGACATAGCACTACTGGACAGCTTGTCAAAGCGATCATGTTCCTGAAGGAGCTGTTGCATATGCCTCAAGTCCAGCTCAGACCTCCTCACAGGGAAATAGTCATCCCGAACTGGTGACTTTCCGACTCCATTTTGCTCCTTGCTGGAAATGACTTCATCGGATCTCTTGTGATTCAAGTCGCCAGATCTCTCGTCTGCAGGAAGATCTTCATCACACATCTGGTCACATTTTCGCTTAACTGCCTGTAGCTGCTGCTGAAGCTGCCGAATATGTTCTTGGAGGGCCATCTGCTCCACCTTCCGATACTTCCCCTCCGAACTTCCATTGCTGCCATCATGCTGTTGTGGCTGGAGCTGTTTGCGTTTGGGTCTCTTGACTTCCATGGCCTTCAGTGAAGGCACATCTTCATTGTCTGATGGACCTTGTCTCATACTCGACAAAATGTTTTCAACACGAGCCCTCTTGGCTTCTTTACTGTCATTAGCTTGCCACTCCCCAAAACTTCCATCTTTCTGCTCACCAATATCCTGCTCCTCCTCGCCAACACTATCCTCCTCACTGTCCACCCGAGGGTCAAGGTCATCCGAGACATGATCCCCATCAACAGAAACATTTTCACTGTGAGACATGATAACAGCTGAACTGGCCTCTGAAGGGTTGTGTCCGTGGTTCATCACATGCATACTCTTGTTAGGATCATTATTGTTCAAGTTCTTTCCTTTGTTCTGAAGTATTTCCCGCAACAGGTGCGATGTATCACTTGGAATGTTTTCCACGGCTGGCATCATGTTTCCGTGAAGAGTCTTGATAGCTGAAACAGCCAAACAATAGGTGAGTAATCAAATTACAACAGTAACTTGCATGCATGCACCAAGAAAATGGCAACAGCTTGAAGGATAAAAAGCAGCCTATCAAATATATGAAATTAATCAGTCATGTGTAGACGACAAGTTCTGCCGTATCATGTTGATGCTTAGGAAGCAGTTGATGCGAGGTTTGTATTTTACTCTCGACCAAGCCATGTGTTCGGCCAGATCTTATGTACCAACAGAGGAGGGTCTGTAAGAGATCCCGTACATATAAAGGAGGGTCACCTCAAGATACTGCATCCAGCATACCCTCAAACACTAATACCAACCTCTGAACTATTGAACTAAATTCACACACTGCATTTTCAGAAAATTAATGACTCAATAAATTTAAATGAAGTTAAGCTTTATCACTTTTGTTTCAGCCCACTATGGTGATATATAAATTAACCTGTCAGCCCTGGGAATGTGAGCACATAATTGTTGCAGAGTGTCCCAGATTTTTAAATCCAAGATGACTGCCAGAAAGAGTGCTTATATATTATGGCAGTGTAGATGTGTACAGGTAAAGGTATTCTGGAGCCTACCTGATTTAGAATTGAATATGCATTTTGTTTATTGGGATTATTCTGTAACAATTTTACTATATTTTTAAAATAAATGGAATTTATCAGTATATTTAGTTAAATCAACTCTTATGAACGAACAGCAATAGTAGCAATTACTGTTAGTAATTGTTGATCAGACTGTAAAGTGACTTTGTATAAAATGTGTTTTACTAAAAATTAATTGATAATTACGAGTTACAACAAACTCACTGTTAGAACAATATATAATGAAGTAAAAATCATTCCGTTCAGCTCCAGGCAAGTCACGTGACCGCACGTGCTTATGGGCAACGTGCATATCTATTCTTAACCATTACGTAATCGATTATTAAAACTTGCATTAAAAGAAATATAGACGCGAGTTTCAAACATAAAAAGAAGGTACACTACATAACAAAGGATATAAATATTAAACGTTTCATGAAAAAGATGTTCTTTTAATGTCGGGCATTGTTCAGCAGACCCCCAATCTGGTGTCGCAGGAAGAGCACCTGTCTGCGAGATATTTGACGCAGGGCAGCACCTGGTATATATTACAAATACTCTGTGTTGTAATATCAGAATTTAGCATCAAGTGTGCGTGTACAGCAGTCATGGCGCGCGATTCCTCGATCAAATAGATTCAGCTTTGACAATAAATGTAGAAAAATCTTTAAACGGTCATATCACAATGTAAATCGATATTATGAAGTCAAAACGTGTTCATATAACGGGTCCATATACATTACAAACTGAAAAGATGTTTAAAGATGTTGTCAACGCCATCGATTTGTCACGTTATGTCGTGAACATATGTTTAAAGTACGCGAGGCGCTATAGCTCCTGATTACATACAACTGGCGGTGTCCACTTACGCCTTCATGGCAGGCTGCTAGAACGCTTTCTCAAACTGGGTCTCGTTTGCATCTTTAACGGTTTTATTTATTCAGCTTTATCACAGTAATTAATCGTGTGTGTTTTCAAAACGTTTGACCACGATTAAAACATTGTTCTTTGTAAAACATACTTAACGCTGACTCGGTGGTAGTTGCACAAGATAACGACTGAGAAACTAAACACCAAAGTTGCAAGTTTAAATAAACGAAACCTTTGAACACCTCCAATATTAATTTCCTAATTGATTTTGATTAAAGCTGCAGTTTATAGCCAGAGACCATCAGTAATAATCATATACAACTAAACAACTCGATAACTTATCAAAACATAAATGATCACTAATGCACGCATGGTTAAATAAGGTGAAAAATAACGCGAGGTGTAAAGACTCGGGCTTTATAACTTAAACAAGAGTTAATCAGAGAAACCTTTGTTCTAACGATGTAGCGAGAGCATCGCGCGCTTACATCTAGCGACCTTCGTTCACTACAACAAAGACAAAAAACCAAAGAAATTACAAGATGTTCCCCCCTCACCTGTGACAAAGGCTCGTCTTCCACACCACGCCGTACCCTCCTCAACTCCCGACTGACAACTCGCAGCTGTCTTGGGTGTTTTACTTATACATGAACCAGATCACCGAAGCGGAACTGTTCGTCGTCCTATCACCTCCCCTCCCCCGACAGGTGAGAGACACCAGCTTCCCTGACCGGCTCATCAGTTCAAGACACACTTAGGCGCGTGGTCAGTCTCGCGCACCTGCCGCAAGTTCGTGAGCTACCTGGGGACGCCTTAGGGGGTGCAGGTTACTTCAAAGAATACCGATGCAACTTTGGACACATTAACACCGTGTGGCTTTCTTTATGAAGACCCACTAGTGTCTGTTATAATTGACATAATGTTTCCAACTGGTTTACCAGATTTTAGAATTTCTTTAATTAAATGTGGACATGTCTAAACCCTCGTCATTGTACCATTCACGTACTATTCACCTGTAACTGCTATTGTCAGAGGAGACATGACCCCTCGTCGGCTTACGTTTGATAAATGTTTTTCATTTTATTCACGTTTATGCAGTTATCCTTCAAATGTACACAGTGCATATCAATATAAGTTCACAGAGAACTTTAAGAGATGGTTATAAGGAAATATTATGTTCCAATACTGTTCAGGAAAGCACAAAGCTTAGAAAAACCTTTTTAATGAGAACAGCAAGGGCTTGATAAGACTGGCGATGAGGATGACGGTTTGATGTGTGGGTCAGCTGACATGAAACTACCTCTTTGTGAAGCGGCAACTGTCACCCGTTTCCCGAGTCAGGAAGCCACACATGGTGTACTTCAAACAATCTTATATACACTGACAATCGTATACACACAAATATTTCACAAGTTTTCTGAGGAAAGTTTTATCAGCCGTGGAATTGTTCTAGAAACATCCCGAATTTTCTGTAGCAGACAAAACCCGTTACACAAACTGTTATTCTTCGGTGCATAGCATTCGTGATTGACATCAAATGTCACCGCGCAGCCAATAACGGTGCAGAGGCAGTGGCGTCACACATATGCAAATTTCTAATATGCTTGCAAATGCATCCCAAATGCCTGCGGTTTCTACTTTCCTTTAAACGTCGAACTATCGATTGTCTCAACACGGCGTTACAATTTGGATTACTTTTTACCGACTTATATGGTAAGGATATCTCTGTAGCAAGACAACAGATGGACGACATAGCACATATGGGATTTGAAATGCTATGAAAAGAAACCTGTGAGATGAAGGTGACTGGCTGTATGTTGTATATTCGGCAACATCTGTAACAGCTATAGAGAAATCTCGCCCACGACGAAAGTCCAATACTCTACACAAGCTGTATACCTTTGATCTATTTACTTTGTGAAATATCCCTTTTAGTTTCGTGTATCTTTCTTTTTTCCAGATCAATTCAACTTCCTAAAACACCCCCATTTATAATTGTATGCTATAAGGAAAAATGGTGTTATCATAAGTAATCATTTAAACCTTTCGGAGGTGTGAATAAATCAAACGTATCCACCTCGGTAAGTTTTGATGAATAGTTTCATAAAGCTTCCTTGCTGTTGTAGCCAGACCTATTTGGTATTCAGTCATAATTGTCAGAAATGATGGCTGTAGATTTGGATAAACACCCCTCAAACAAGACGGACATTATTCACTCAGCGTTCACGGCCTGCGATGAGAGCGCGATCAACAACAGTTGAATAGCATAATTAACACGAGTAATTAACAAGTTAATTAACAATCGACATATGCACCACTGTCAGCCAGTAATACAGTGGTGTACCACACGTCAACAAGTGTTGATTACGAGAGACAATTAACGTTATAGTCATTCAGATTTCTCACTATCAGCTCTGAACAAACCTGCAGCCCGATGTCCAGGGGTCACCGTGCTTCCAAACAAAGTGCAGTCCCTTGATTTAATTCATTAAGTCATTCTTTCATTGGTATATAGATATATTTCAATCATTTGTTTCCACCAAAGCGCCTGTGATCAGTGTACATGTTAATAAAAGGTTTATTGATTGCCACTGTGAAAACAATTATACAGTTATACATCAATGCCTTTAAATGCGGGTGAAGCGACAGTCTAACGAATTACGACATATTTCACTTACAACATGTAAAACAGTTATTAAAATATTAATTATATAGATAAGTATACAGGTTTCGTGATGAACAACTTAACTCGGAAGAATGCCATGAAAGTGACGATATACAATCTTCACACTAAAATGATTATTTTTTCGTGATTCACCTTTACTCCATGGGGACCTCAACATGTCTAAATGGATGCCCCTAAACCTGCATGCTCACGCAGGCAAATTATATAAAGAAATTAATTGCTTAGATACCTAGATTGGTGGTAATTTCATAACTTAAATTCACTGTCCATTTACATCCGTGTTTAGAATTACAAAACATTCTTGCTCAGATACGTATAAAATATTGTATTATTTATGATATACATACATTCGTGACGTGGAATCTTATATAAATACTACCTATAGCGACTCAAGGAGCGACTCGGGAGGCTTATACCTTTTTCGTGTATACAGGTTAATGTTTGGCCGGAGAAACTACATATACACCATCGTATATATAAATGAAATATAATGTTGTTTGATAAAATCGATGCTGGGACAACGACTTATCTGTGTCATCCATTAGACAATCACTTGATACCGTTATCTCCTACATGCAGCATACACGGGCCTGCCAATATCTATGTTAAACATTCGCGCAGTTTCTCATTACATTATAGATGCTGCGGAAGAAACACTTATAAGACATTATCAGTTCACTATAGAGAATATTTTCATCATCCTGTAATGCATTTTATATTAGAGACTGGTTTGTGTCAACTAAAACACGTGAGAAATAGTTTGTACCAACGATTCTATACTTTTATATATCTATATGCATGCGTACCTGTGGTGGAAAATGTTTTTCTTCCAGGGTGAATAATTAATTCGTGTTTTTCTTCTGTTAAATTAAATAAAGACATTTTAACTTTTTTGCCTTTGTCAAATTTTTAACGACACAGGTGACAATCACGACGGTTCCTGGAATCGGTTGTGCTTCTCAATGAGGGAAGACCGAGAGGTCATTTCCAAACACAACTATCAGCAATCTGTTCATACACTATGAAATAATTTCCAAAAGTGTCTTTGTGGAAGTCACCAGGAGTTGGTGGACCCGAGTTTCGCACAGTATAGGTCATTGTAATTTATATGAATCGGTGTTTGTATCACGTGACTTATTCTATTGCTATTGTTGGACCATGTTTTGGCGGTTTTTGTGACGTAACATATATTTTCACAGTTTGTATAGAAAGTTGTAAGCTAACCGGCAATAAATGGCTTTTCGAAACACGACAGTAGACAGCTGACAATAATTCTTGTAACACAGGTTACATTGATTATTTACTTTGTTGGTTACAACTTACATGCTAGTAAATAAGGGTACTTATCTGGTACAAAGTCGCTGATGCCCGTACGCTGGGTTCAAATATAGTATATCAAAATTACAGTTTTGTAATATAATATTCCTGTTTTGAAACCTAAAATATACACATTCTAAACAATTTTCCGTCGTTAACGCCTTACGTTTGATATCGGAAATATCATTAAGGGTTTGGTCGACACATGTAAATATTAATATATTACAAGATCGATAGATTTGGCTCCGGTGAGAGAGACACCTTTAAGCCGATGTGACGTGGTACCAGGCAGAACAAGGGATGCAGAGCGAGACATCATCGTTCCGATCCAGGTTTCGTTGTTCAATCAGGATCCTGACGTCTGTGTATGTCCAGCTTTACACGACTTACGTGGAACGAGGAAACTCCGCCAGTGTGGTATTCGACAATTGTACCCCGAATATGTTTAAATTTATTTATTTATTAAAAGTTCTGTATTCTTCAAAATCAATCTATTTCTAAATATTTCTTTTAAAAAAACACCAATGGATGGTGCGGGGCGGGGTCTGCGTGAGAAGGGGTGGGGCTGTCAGGGTTGGGGTGGATCGAAAATGAAGATTTGATTTCTTGTCTAATCGTTGTGCGATTCAATGAATTAAAACATAAAAGTGATATATGAATCCTATTATTGAAAAGGTGTCAGGACGCAGGAGACAGTTCATGTACAAGGTAATGTTCAACAACTGCAACTTCGGGACATAAGAATGCAAATATTGATATATCATAACTGCCGTGGCAGTCCGGGTTTACATTAGCTCATGTCAATTCAGTTATACTACACAAATCTGGTGAATAACCTTTTGAAATTGAAAGGCGTTAATGTTTGACTAGTTGTGTAATTTTAAAAAAACATATCAAACACCATTCTTACATACTTCCTCGCGAGATAGACTTCTTCATGCGTGGTTTAACAACAATGAACAAAAAACATCTGATAAAACTTTTCCTCCACTAGACGCTTAAGACTCCGTTTATCCTCGTGCTATTCTTGGAGGTAAATGAAATAGAAATTACCATACGGAAGGTAGGGCTCAAATAATTTGCTCGGTCATGAGAAGAAAAGCGACACTTGTTCTATCGAGTACAGCATTTCCTTATTGATAACAAAATATTTAAATGCACATCATGAATTAATTTACTACTTGTAACACGATACACGCTCACCCGCCTATACTTTTACGAGACAAGAATCAGTTATTCATCTGTCTTAGTCATCCCAAACAGTCAAAAGATTAAAACGTGTTGCGGCCTAAAATGAACAATTGTTGTTGACTGAACATTTATAACAAAATGAATATTTAAAATCTATGACACGACGTTTAAACATACATATATACATAAAACAGTGATCAATGCGGAAAGAATGAGATAGAAATATTATAAGCTTACTAAGCCACGGGCGATGGAAATAACTGTCCATATGTATAGCAGCACCGTCAGCAACAGGACGTCTAAGGTATCACATATTGTCTTGACAGTTTCCACAAACAACGCTAGTCCGTTCCTCAACTCCCTTGCCAGGTGATGTCATAGTTGGAAATGTGAAAGGTGTCTTACCTTTAATCCATCGATGCTGCCCGTCTCTTGGACTCTGTACTCCGCTTGTCTCGGCGCACTTAGTGTAGCTCTCTTCAAGAACAATAAGCAACTTATCTGATTGGGGAACCTCCCAACTCTGACCTGTGACCTCTCCTGTAAACTGCGCATGCGCAGCGGAAGTACGGACGACCGCCATGCTTTCGACAAGACTGCGGTATTTACCGCAATGTACTAGGTTTTTAACGTCTTGTAGAGCAACCCAAAGGACGCCTAAGGCAAGTTATGAAATGCTTCGACCCCTGTAATTTGGATGTTAGCTTTCGTGTAGATGCAGGTGTCTGATCGCAAGATGAAAGCTCCAAACAATCCGGTTTCCTGGGAGGGCTTGTCAAAGTCAAAATGACATTCACAGGGAAAATGTACCGATTTGTAAATATGTGCCCTTGAAAATCTGTTTACCTTTACAGAAAAGTAAACCCACATGCATTAAGTAGTATATTTAATGTTATACATCAGCCCATGGGATTATATTCTGACCAAGTTCACAATGCAATAAATGAAAGTTTTTCATCATACACCGGCTGAGTAAATATCCACCCAACTGTTTGGAAATATTTGGAAAATATAAAGTGAAATGACCTTCGTGAGTGGAAGAAAGGTAAAAGGAAAGTGTTTGCACATTAGACAGATGTGTGATCTGCTGATTATTTACAGTAGATTACAGATTCATCTCTTGGTGCAGTCAATATCATTTAGCCCCCTGTCAAATGAGGACAGACCTGCCTTGGACATGATAATAGATTAGGGTCAGTTGCAATCCTGCCACGAAGTGTGAGGTTGCATGAGTATACTGAAGTTTGCCAGGGTCCAATACTATTTATGGTTCTAATTCTTGACAAGAGTATATAGTTTCTGTTATGAACGTAATTATTACATCTTGAATTACAATTTACACTGCATTATTACATTACTTAACAGAACGTTGAAATTTCTTGTAAACACCCTTGAAATTAGTAATTAGGGGTTCTTAGGACCCCAAATTTTGTAGGTCACTGTCCAACCCAGTTTGTGACATTGAAAAAAGTAGTTGGTTACTATGTTTATTCATTGTACTCATTAGTTACGGAAATGTAACTGAAAATGTTCAGCAAAATCACATTTACAGTACATGGTTAATCTATAGGTATAAGGTGTCTTGTTTTTGTAAAGATCTGTCATTTCATTGTCAAAACAATATCAATGCTATCTTGATGATGAATATTAATAAACATGTTGTGAAATTGAAAGGTAATTTACCCTCTCTTTGTGTTTTGTCTTCATGAATGACATGTCCACAATAATTATTTAATAGAATCATCCTCTTCAATGTGAATGAAGGATCATTTAGAGCTCGACATCATTATGTGCTCAGACATGTTAAATGGGCCAACTTTAAAAAAATTCTTATGTGCTTGGAAAATGTAAATTACTTTTAACATTCTGTTGAATCAGTCAAACTAAACATATGTTATGATTTATTAATGCTACAGATTTGGTACAGTGTAAACAATGGAGAAATGTTAGATTAATGTTCCACACATTACTCTGTGTATATGATGTTTCACAGATATCTTTATTTTCAATAAATTATGACTTTCGGTAGGTCGAACTGTGGATTGTATATTTTGGATATAATCAATTGGTATAACAAAATCCTTATATCCTGGATGCTCTGCTGAAATATGATTGATTTAGGAGAGATCAAGCACAAGTTGTCTCCCCTCCTCTAAACACAGTACCACAAGCAGCAAATATGTCAGCCACATTGTGTCAGTGTGTGTTACCTGATGGCAAGGGTTTAGTTTTATAGCGAATTACTATATGTCACCTAATGGTATTAAAGGAGAAACCAATGCAGAAAATGACCTATTATTGAAAGTGTGAATGTTTACAAGTATGTATTTGTGTGTTCTGATTGGCTATTGATGTCTAAGCATGCTATGGGTCAGTGGTTACTGGATACAGCAGCTGGGCTGAGTGAAAATGAATATGCATCAGTTGTTTCATTTTAGTCATGTATCCTATTTCCTCAACTACCATATTTTTACAATCGTAAAAGAATGTGAACACTTTTGTCCACCAGACCTCAACACTGAAGATAAAAGACAAGCTTCCATAAATGAACAGTTATGTCTTTTTGCCCCTACAACAGCTGTAACAAAGCTTTGAAGTAACAATGCGTGCTGGGTTCAGTTGTATTTTTCTAGCCTACCATGCCAAGAGTTTTTTTTATGTGAATTATTGTTTCTTTTTCTGTATATTCATTAGTTGGTTGACAAAATATTTTGGTTTTCAGTTAAGGTATTTAATTCACACGTCATGGGTATTTCATAGTAATTACATATGCTACTGCTGGCTAGTGGCAATGGTCACACGCTGTATAATTTTATCCCAGTTGATAATACTTCATGTTTCTCTGTGGTTCCACCAGTGCCCTATCAGTTGACTCCTGTGAGTGAAGTCACCTTCTACCAACAGGGATGTAGTTGCCGGGACGTTGGTCCCACACAGAATGTTCTCCGTGTTTTCATGAAGAGTTTACCTAGCTGAGTAGAGAGGTGCACCGTCAAAGATTTCATTGCCACATGTGAAGGGATTGTTGAGTTTGTGGGATGATGTAGACATACTGGTGGCTTGCTGATTTGTGGGGGTGTTTAACTTGAGGGGTTTTGCCGCCAACTTGTACCCGAAGACAACCACCGCATGGATAAGAGACTTTCCTGCGATTAGTCGTCAAACATTGCTTGGTCAAGTGAGTGCACGGTTTACTTAGTACCAGGCGCTGCAATTCGCGGAAGGCGGGAAAGTTGGTGACCTTTTGTTTGGACAGCGTTGTCTGTCGGGTATCCTAACTGCCTGTGTGCAGGGGAAGGGAATGCAGAGATTGCCAGCTGTAAGCTCTACAACACATAACTCCCACTTGCACTTGATAATGGTGGATTTAGGCCGTGGCAGTTGGAATTAATCCCGCTAGGCATCTCATTTGCATAAGTTGTTAGAATTCTTAGGTCAGACTTTGACAATATTTGTAAACCTGGCAACTCTTATTAGCTAGAAGCCCATGCTTTGTTTCCGTGATGTTTGTGCTTGAATATAGGTTCTGGTTAGTGTCCGCCCTCGAGATGTCCCACAATCAAACAGAACAAGATTAAAAGTCTGATTGAGTCGTCTCCTCACACATTGGTGTGCTGGTCACTCCGTGGCTGTCTCACACAAATGCCATTGTTGACAGTATTGTAGCCAATCCCCACACCAAGTCACTACAACTTTACGCCTGTCTATGTACTCTGGTTTCTCAAGTTAATATGTAGGTGTAACAGGACGTCATGTATGTTTATTGTATAATATGTATGTTTACAACATAATGAGTATATCTGTCATGTTGCTTGCGGTTGTTCGTGTCAGTGTGATAGTTTATCAAGATATCACGATCCCAGATTCTGTTCGACTTCATGCATGTTCAGCTAGTCTGTGTGAGTTAGTGAGGAGCTAGTGTGACATTTGCTGGTAATGTCCCCAAGCAACCGCGCTAAGTACTGACTCAAGATGAGATTAGGCTGAATGCATTAAATAATTCTCAAAACAAGTTAAGGACCAGCTGATTCTTTCATATGACTGTAGTTAATCTGTCAGTTATGGAGTGCCCGATTCTATCACATTACTATGCCTGTAGTTAATCTGTCAGTTATGGAGTTCCCAATTCTATGACATTACTATGACAGATTAACTATCGTAGTATTCAAGGATCCTTAGGCCTAAAAAAAAATGTGGTTCCGATTACCCTACCAACCCATCAATTCTGGTGCCGACCCTATTTTTTTTAGCGGTATGAATAAAATAAGCTCTCAGATACCATTGTTTTTCCCCGGCAAAGATGGACATTGGTCATTCTGATAGAGAAAGTTGACATGATGGCTGGAAGCTTGGTGAATAAACAATTACACATTGATAAATGTGTTATTAGTTTGTACTTTACTTCTAAAAAAAATGTAAAATAAATATTAAAAATCCTACCTACCTACCCTAAATTTTACAGAGGTGTAATCGGAACCACAACATTTTTTTTATTTGGCCTTCGATCTTTTCTCAAAATGAAACCAGTTGGCAGATGTTTATTTTTGTCATAACAGTTTGGTGAATATGATGCATTGTGATTGTGTATTACAGGTCCTGGTGGGTTTGCCTCAAGAACTCCGTGGTAATTATATCATACAAAATTCATTTAAATAAAGGTGTTTGTGGAAATTAAGTATTGCTCGTTGGTGACCTTCCCATTGCAACTGTTTGTCTTCAAAAGTAGTGACGTTGTATGGACATACCCTTACAACAAATACCTGGATCCCAAACACCCCCTCATTTCACCCAGGGTATTGGAGTTTTCATCATATCTGAAGCTAGTCGTCATTCCATTCCATCAAAATTTGAAAAGTGAAACATTTAAGGATAAAAAAAAATGTTTTTTGCCTGTTTTTATTCAAACTTACCTGAAAAATAAATAGATGGTTTGGTGAGCAGCCAACAATTCCGATGTGATGACTTTGAAATTCGAATGGCTGTAGCATTATGAACGTGTAAAAAAGACTGACAGACTGATGCTCATTGTCTGAAACGAGCAATATGTTGCCAGTGACATTGAGTTGAGACAGTATCTTAACAAAACACTGCAATCAGAATACAGTGGGATACATATTGATGTTTTCGTGCTGTACAATCAGGTCTTACAGTTTGCCGGGAATATTTTTTATTAGAAAAAGATGAACAACAGTTCCAAGCAATAAGTTTAGGTGACATTCAGTTTATTATATGTTCCCGTTAGTCAATATCTTCTAATCAGATAATGTGACTTTATTAATATATATGTTAGCTCGTTCAGTATAAGTTACACAATTCTGTTATAGTTTATTGATGCTTGCCATATGTAAATTCTCTATATATGGATAGAATGCACACTTAATTTGACTTGTTGCAACCCTGGAAGTTTAGGCCCCAATCGTTGTTTAGCATTTGTGATCATACCAGAGAATATGTGGTTTGTTGTTTGTTACCCTGTTTATCATTACAGAAACTGGATTTGTATATTTGTTCTTAACTTGTTGTTAACAATAGTAACTGTGCTGTTTCAAATATGTTGATTCTTAAAACAATATTCTTAAATGAATTATCTAAATTTCAGATCCTTTTTCCAAACTAACAGCTTTTTACAGCCTATTTGAAAAAGATATTACCAATTTGGTCATCTGTGCAAGACCATAACATTTTGTTATTACTGTCTAACAACAACTGGGAAATATATGATTCTTATTTGGATATGTACTGGCATTTGCTCTCAGCAGGCCCAGATAAGTGTTGGAGAGATCGAAGTGCTGTTACCTATGCTGGTTGTAAGAGGTAACATAGTGGCAGGGGAGGCTTGGTTGATGGCATGTCACCGAACCATGACACCATGGATCATTGCTTGTCTCGTCAGTCACAGGGTTGTGTGGTCCATACTGGATTATTTATAGGTAGCCATGATGTAGCTGGAATATTGTAGATACAAAGACAACACACAACACGGACCTACATACAGACACACGCATACACACACAACACGGACCTACATACAGACACACGCACACACACACACACAACATGGACCTACATACAGACGCACGCACACACACAACACAGAACTACATACAGACACACAAACACGCACACAACATGGACCTACATACAGACGCACGCACACACAACACGGACCTACATACAGACACACACACACAGCACGGACCTACATACAGACGCACACACAGCACGGACCTACATACAGACATGCACACACACACACACACACAACACGGACCTACATACAGACACACACACACACACACACCACGGACCTACATACAGACGCATGCACACACACACAACACGGACCTACATACAGATGCACACACACACGGACATACACACACACACACACACACACACAACACGGACCTACATACAGACGCACGCACACACACAGAGTAGATTGATAGAAGACAGGGTGCATTCAACATTCTCCTGTGATGTTAGTGTCTGTTGTTTATCGTGAAAACAATTTTCCAGCTATATGATGGCAGTCTGTAAATAATCAAGTGTGGGCGAGACAACCCAGTGATCAACATCATGAGCATTGATCTACGCAATTGGGATACGATGATATGCATCGGGAGGTGAGCAAGCCCCCCATTAAACGCCTCTTACTACATGCATCTGTAGCCGAAGACCAGTTCTGACAGGGATCTTCACATGTCCTACAATACAAGTGCGTGACATTGCCCCCTTGTTTCCTGTCTGTGTTGTGTTTTCAGCCCCATCCTGCAGGGCTCTGTCTACGTTATGGGCAGCTGTTGACTCACAGTAAGTCGGCCAAAATCAATTTCACTTCATCAGTGTGTTATAAATCTTATAATGCATTGTGTTAGAATAGTGAGTGACGTGTCACTGCACCCTGGGTATACAGTGTAATGGATATGTTTTGTACAGCCGAGCAAATGTATTTGTAGACACTTCGTAATATAGAAAAGCTGGATGATTTTGTTTCCTCCAATACAACATGTGTTGTGATTTTGTGTATCATGCTTCCTAGCGAGTGTTTAAGTTGACACGCGTATTGACCACACCAGGCCTGGAACATACTTCCTCAACCCAGCACCACCACCCATGCTCAGGTCGACCTGGATGTTGGGATGTAGTTTCCTCAACTCATACCCTGTTCATTCTTGTGGTCAGTGATCTAGCTTAACCTGATAAAGTCCATCCAACAAAAGTCTAATGTTCTACTAGCTCTCATAATACCTTTCACATGAAACTCGGGATAACCACCTTGCGCTTCCTTATCTGAAGCAATGTTTGATATTCAAACCTCAAAAGACCTAAACTAAAATATAGGGTTTGGTTGTTACATCTTCAGCAACAGGTTCAGTTCCAACACAGGTACACTGTGAAATCCCCCTTAAAATTCCCCAGCTTAGATGTCTCAAAAAACTTGCAATCCAAATTGAAAACATTGTCATTATTTCTTCATAATTCAGGTGAACTTCAGAGACTTATGGCAGTCCTCAACTTGATCAGCTTGTATAAAGACTCAGTCTAGGAAAATTGTGTTCGGCTGGTAAGATCAGCCAATAACAGTCCACATATATTTTACTGAAAATGATGCAAAGAGCCAAGTTCGGGCTGGTTGTCTCAACTATTGTGCCTTATTCTGTTTTTATTATCAAGTTTCATTGTCAGCAGATGCTGATGTCCTAGTCTAGAAATTAGTTGCTGTTTATACATATTTAATAAAAGTTTCAACAGTTTGAATTTAGAAGTGATACACAGAAGCAAATGAGTTTTTACGGATGTCAACTTCATTATTATGAGGAACAAAATGTTCCGGAGTACATGTATATCTTTACTCCTTCATTGTGTTCATTGTGTTCCGTGGCAGGAGTAATGCTCATGTTATCAACCACTGGCCTAGACTCGCATCACATAATTCCAGCATATAGATTCGCGGAATAGCTGTTCATTGATTAATAAATGATCTGGAATGAAGCATTGGTGCTTGTTACAACCCTAATGTTAGCAGAAGAAATGAGGTTGTCCCTTTATTCTACTACTATAGCAGCAAAACTCTTCGCCACTCACTCACTCACTCATTCACCCACCCATTTACATGTGAGTAACCTGTTACACAGATTTTGAAACGTCAATAAACATTCTAATAATGCACCTTACCTGGTTTGCCTTTGTGTGAACCCTGCACCTAGATGTGACAGCTAATATTACGTATTACGCCAACTGATCAAAGGCTGCATTCTTAAGAAGCTGCGGCAAGATAATAAAGAAGATTAGGGCCGTGTAATGTGACTTTGTCCCTGTTGCTGTATCAGTAGTGTTAATTAAAGATTGCTAACTACGTGGTATATATAGGCATTACTTGTTGAGTGATAGACGTGGGTGGTTGATGTTTTCAACCATCAGCTGGGTATGGCTACCTGTCCATCAAAAGACATATATATCCAGGGCAGGTGAAGATGGGGGTGATTCTTCCTCCTTGACATCTGAGGGCTGTTATCACTCGCGATAACGGGATGATATGTTGGCTGCACACTATGACTGCATGCACTGATAACGCGTCATTCCTTGAAACTGTACCATATGTCAACTGGATTGTACCACAGCAGAACTAGTTATTGATTAGTTTTGACAAACACCATTTGGTCACACTTCTGCATGGAAACACTCTCTTAGTATCTGCCCATATTATTAATATAGATTTATCTGTGTTAATAGTTAGGCTAGTTCTTGGTATTCATCAGTATTTCTTGGAGAATGATCCGTATGTAATTAGTATGGCTGGCTAGAAAAATCGATAATCAGAAATATCGTTGATGGGCAGAATTATAGATATGAAACTTATGTCATTGATAGTATGTTACATAAACTATTGTGACGAATAAAGTAATTTTCACACACAACAAATGAAGTTTATGTTCATATTCATGGCCGCTTCTAATTTATGTTTAGAACTATATTTGTTAGTAATCCATCGTAATGTGTCACTAGTGATATATTTTAGTTTTTCATTGTTTTTTATCCTCCAATATCGATAGTCGATCAGTATTTGTGAATCATAATCGATGTATGTGACGTATAGAGATAGCCAGGCCAAGTAATTAGTGAAGTGTTTTTGAAAGGGTGAAATGTTGAGCCGCTGTAAGAAAGACAGTCAGGCATTGTTTCTCTATATGTTTCACTGTTCATTTGACTGCAAGGCATTGTCCTGCTTGTTGAGGAATTTCAACTGATTGTGTGGGTGGTTGTGTGGGTGTTGACAGTGATCTTACAGTAAATCCCCACAAACAGGATTTAGTGTAGAGTGCTTTGTTGAAATACTAATGATTTCATTTCTAACAAACATTCCTGAGCTGTCTACTTAGGGTCAGTACGTTAACAGCCAATTTGATACTCTATTGCTCATAATCTAAATTACAGCTATGGAATATTGAGCTGTCATACCTTGATGTTTGTGTGGAATTGTTAACAACCTTGAATGTATTGAGGTCTCTCACTGCTGTGTTTCAGTCAGTCACTGACATCATCAGGTGGATTGGTACCAGCTAGAACCTTCAAGACCTCGTCTGTCCGATGTAAGTACTAGCTTACTCCTATAGATGGCCCCGGCAGTGGCAGGAGGCGGCCTCTTTCACTGTGATAAGCAACACCATCATTGTCTGACTGACATTTATTTGTGTCTTGTGCAGTTGTTTTTCAAAATTAGATTTGATAACTTATGTGCAAGCGAGGTAGCTTATCATGATGTTGAACTATACAAATGTTCGTTTGTGTATTGGATGTATTTGCAGATGAGGAAATGAGAACAGTGAACTCACCTCCATTCGCGGAGTCCGTAACAGAGGGAGATATCAGGTGGGAAAAAGGTGAGTCATTTTCTCAGCTGTTTAGTTTTTGTGTCATATGCCCAGTAGCCATTGTCTTCTCATACACAAGCTATAACTGTTCTATTCCCACATTCCAATATTCTTATGGACAGGCAACATATTCTCATATTCCCACATTCCTATCTTTTCATCGACAGGCAACATATTCTCATATTCCCACATTCCTATCTTTTCATCGACAGGCAACATATTCTCATATTCCCACATTCCAATCTTCTCATCGACAGGCAACATATTCTCATATTCCCACATTCCTATCTTTTCATCGACAGGCAACATATTCTCATATTCCCACATTCCTATATAGACACATACTAGTCCCTGTATCCTCACACGTGCACAAGTTATACATAGATTTTCAGGTTCACACAAGTGACATCTTCTTTATGCACCGCCAATATGAACACACACTGATCAGTTTGGGTCAACAGTTTCTGTAGCTTCAGCATGTTATGATCTGTATAGTTCGGACTATGAAGAATTATCAGCCACTTCTCACCTATTATACCAACAGGTATGAAAAAGGCTGATGAAACATTCATAAACCATTTTGAGGTGTAAGCGTCCATCAGGCCAGGAACACATTCATTGGAATCTTGTGATGAATCCATAGTGACTGGATTAAAATTGTGCTAGCCTGCTGGCCTGCGACTACTAAAATGTGCTGAGGACTAGTAAACCTGTGGTTGTCATCTTCGTAGTAGCATTTGATGGCCATAATTCTGGACAAGTGCTCTGTGTTGAAGTTTTACAACACCCAGGAACAGAATTTGTCTCACCAAAAACAGACACAGAAAACATTTTTCTCATGATCAAGCAGGACTGGCGACAGTCTTTGAGCACTGTTGTCAATTCTTCACACTAGTACTTGGATCATTTTCTTTTGTTGATATTGTGATATTCTGACTGTATTTCAGCTGTTGGTGATTTCGTGAGTGAGGATGATGTTGTTGCTGAGATTGAGACCGACAAGGTGTGTAATCATGACTGAGGATTTGCCTGCAACACATGTCTGCATAAATTCCAAAACTGAAATTAATGTTTCATCATTCAGTGTTAAAAATTAAGTATGGAAGTTTTCCTTGCCATAGTTGTAACGTCGAAATTCAAAATCTTCAGGCTTTGCAGGTTGAAATAGCACCAGAACAAAACTCAGACGCCCCACACCCAATTATTTGTAAAGTTTGGAATCTTTAAATGAAGGTAGTGTTTGAGAAGAACCTGAAGGGCCAGGTATAGCAGTAACACATGCCAATACTGAGTCCCTCCTTCTGTATGTCACATGCTCTCTGTCCAGACCTCCATCCCTGTGCCTGCTCCTGTGGCGGGCATCATCGAGGAGTTACTTGTGGAGGATGGTGGAACTGTCGAAGCAGGACAGGAACTCTTCAAGATCAAAATCACTGGTAAGATCTGAATGATCCCCTTATTGAATGACAGGAATCTCCTAATTATCATTGGGATTCTATGTCGGAATGGACAGCAACCCAGATTACTATTGGTCTCAAGTAGATGTAACAATGACTTGTGTAACAGGTAGTAAGGTATATTGAATTGAATTGGTTGACAGATTTGTGTTGAAGTTTGATTTGGATCATTCTTTTTGTAGGTGAAGCCCCTCCCCCAAAAGCGGCCAAGGCTGAAGCTCCTGCAGCTGCAGCTGCACCAGCTGCTGCACCACCCCCACCCCTCCCCCCCCACCATCAGCAGGCCCCATTCCCACCACCCCACCCCCAGTTCCCTCTGTCCCAAGGGCCCCTGTGACCTCCACCCCGACCTCCTCTATCAAGGTTACCCCATCATCAGCTCCTCCTATGGACATGACGAGTGGAGCAAGAGGAGAACAGAGGGTGAGTCTACATCACTCTAGGGTTGGATAGGTCCCAGGCAGCCTGTCATGCTGTGGTACTGGCTGACTATACAGGGAAGTGATGTGAGGCTCCACCACATAGCAGGTGTCATGTCCTCGTTCCCTGACGGCCAGGGATGCTGACATGTCTGGCTTGTTCGGTTGTGTAAAGCCCATTCCTGGCGTCCCCAGCTACACCAAAGTCAAGGTAGCCCAAGTCAAGTGAATTTTCCTGTGGACAAGTTAAAATACAATGATGGAAGTCGTCCTTAATTAGTAACATGCGAGGGCTGAAATTCTGAAACAGTTCTTAAGGCTTTAATTTTCCTATGAATTGTAACTGAATCAAACTGACAATGTAAACACAGCAAACCGTTTTGTCTTGTTTTGTCTTGTGTTGAACAGCATGTATTTATAAGTCTGTGTGTGGCGTTACAGGTGAAGATGAACAGGATGAGGCAGCGGATTGCCCAGAGGCTGAAGGATGCCCAGAACACCTGTGCCATGTTGACCACCTTCAATGAGATTGACATGAGGTAGTATAGCCCATGGTCCTGTTCCACAATCTTCATGCTAAGATGGTTGTAACTTCCATAGTTAAACAAAGACTTAAGATAGTAGTAGCACAAAAATGTTTTTGTTGAGTAGGGCCCAATAATCTTACTTTAGGTAAACATCGTCTTCTCACCGTAGCCTATGAGAGGGTAGTAACTGACATGTAAGGGACAGTTTCTTGATGAATCCACTTGTAGCATGTTAAAGGATGTTGAAAGAAGCCTGTTGCACGAATGTAAGTTTGAAGCTCAGGGAAAATAGTTATGTCACAAAATATTTTCGTCAGCCACATACATGTATATCGTTTGATAGAACTGCCTTGCCCTTAGACCCTGTGTACTGACTGCCTGTGTGTGGCGTTGTTTTCCAGCAATGTGATGGGCATGAGAGCCCAGTTCAAGGAGGCCTTCCTCAAGAAGTTTGGGATCAAGTTGGGATTCATGTCTGCTTTCGTTAAGGCATCAGCGTTTGCCCTTCAAGATCAACCTGTGGTTAATGCAGTTATAGACGATATGGAAATTGTGTATAGAGACTATGTAGACATCAGTGTTGCTGTGTCTACACCCAAGGTACAACATGGACCATTGGACTGTGGGGGTCAGGGAGGGAGGGAGTGGGTGGGTGGGGGTGAGGCTGGGAGTGGGTGGGGGTCAAGGGAAACGGTATGTGTTGGGTCAGGGAGAGATGGATGGGTAAATTCTTTAAGGTGAGTATGGGTTTGGAACTCTTCAAGGGAGTAACTTGATTTTGTTTGTTGAGAGATAGAATAGCTGTCTTTTGCAAAGATAAGGAATGAATATATGTGAACCGTAACTATGTCCAATACTGAACATTTGCAACAGTCTAATTGTCAATAAATACTGTTTAGTATTGTTCAGAGTATCTTTCAAAGTTTGCAAAGTTGTGAAAGTAAGCTACAATACTTAACATATGTCTGTTAACCTGGTGGTTAAAGCGTTGGCTCGTCACGCCGAAGACCAGGGTTCAATTCCCCACATGGGTACAATGTATGAAGCCCATTTCTGGTGCCCTGTGATATTGCTGGAATATTGCTAAAAGCGGCGTAAAAACAAACTCACTCACTAACTAATATACGTGTCTGTGCTATTTCAGGGCCTAGTTGTTCCAGTTATTAGAAATGTGGAGAGAATGAACTATGCAGACATAGAGAAGACAATAAATGACCTGGGAGAGAGGGTAGGTCTACAGCAAACATGTCGGTCAGTTGATGGTGATTAGCGTTCAATATACACTTATACTTACTTGGATATTGAGAAGTGATAGTTGCTTTGTAACGAAATGTCATAACCTAAGATAATTATTGTTTTTCAGAGAGATGTTTTAAGTCTCCGTACCTCCAGGCGATCTTGGAGCAAAATAATTCTATGTTAAGAGTTATGAACATCTTAGTGCTAAGATCGAAAGTAAATGTTTTGTAGATGCAGTTTTTAACAGCTCATTACTTGTGTACAGAAACAAGAATGTTGTGAGATTCACTGACGTCCAAGACTGTGTTAGTTTGCCATAGTAAACACTGCAGTTGGTGCACTCACAGACTGAAATAATCAAATATAGTTCCAGCTGTCGTGTGGCCTGATATTAAATCCAGTGTTTTGTGGACCTACCCAGACAGTGCTGTGTTTGTTGCAGGCGAGATCAGGGAGTTTGGCGGTAGAGGATATGGATGGCGGAACCTTCACCATCAGCAACGGCGGTGTATTTGGTTCCATGTTCGGCACCCCAATCATCAACCCTCCCCAGTCTGCCATCCTCGGCATGCATGGAGTCTTCCAGCGTCCGGTCGCTCTGGATGGGAAGGTAACATGATCCCACACCATTGTAACTAGGGCTGTTACTGGACCTTGTACCTTGTCTCTTGAGCAGCCTTCAAAATTCCACTAGCCCACCAGCTCAAGATTACTCCATTGTGCTCATGTCATGATATACCAAGCCAATACTTTTAGCCTGCTTGAGGCATTTGAATGAAGAAGTGTTTATCAATATTCTCCTCACTCATACAAGTCAGTGTGGAGTACTGGCTGCATTCACCGGGCTGTTCATCACGGACGGACAGGCCCGACCATACAAAGGGGGATCCCAGGGATTATTATTCCAGTAAAGCTGAAACAAACTGGCACATAATTGTGTAATGAACGTTGCTCCAACCTGTTGGACGTCAGACTTTTGCTATGTCACCCCGCGGGATAAGTCAGTATCAGTATGTCACCCGTGGGATAAGTCAGTATCAGTATGTCGCCCCGTGGGATAAGTCAGTATCAGTATGTCACCCTGTGGGATAAGTCAGTATCAGTATGTCAGTCGGTGGGATAAGTCAGTATTAGGATGTCACCCTGTGGGATAAGTCAGTATCAGTATGTCACCCCGTGGGATAAGTCAGTATCAGTATGTCGCCCCATGGGATAAGTCAGTATCAGTATGTCACCCTGTGGGATAAGTCAGTATTAGTATGTCACCCCGTGGGATAAGTCAGTATCAGTATGTCAGTCGGTGGGATAAGTCAGTATTAGTATGTCACCCTGTGGGATAAGTCAGTATCAGTATGTCAGTCGGTGGGATAAGTCAGTATTAGGATGTCACCCTGTGGGATAAGTCAGTATCAGTATGTCACCCCGTGGGATAAGTCAGTATCAGTATGTCGCCCCATGGGATAAGTCAGTATCAGTATGTCACCCTGTGGGATAAGTCAGTATTAGTATGTCACCCCGTGGGATAAGTCAGTATCAGTATGTCAGTCGGTGGGATAAGTCAGTATTAGGATGTCACCCTGTGGGATAAGTCAGTATCAGTATGTCACCCCGTGGGATAAGTCAGTATCAGTATGCCACCCTTATGTAGGATAAGTCAGCGGGCCCACCTGTTTGGAGTCCTCCTATCAGTATGCCACCCTTATGTAGGGTAAGTCAGCGGGCCCACCTGTTTAGGAGTCCACCTATCAGTATGTCGCCCTTATGTAGGATAAGTCAGCGGGCCCACCTGTTAGGAGTCCACCTATCAGTATGTCGCCCTTATGTAGGATAAGTCAGCGGGCCCACCTGTTAGGAGTCCACCTATCAGTATGTCGCCCTTATGTAGGGTAAGTCAGCGGGCCCACCTGTTAGGAGTCCACCTATCAGTATGTCGCCCTTATGTAGGATAAGTCAGCGGGCCCACCTGTTAGGAGTCCACCTATCAGTATGTCGCCCTTATGTAGGATAAGTCAGCGGGCCCACCTGTTAGGAGTCCACCTATCAGTATGTCACTCTTATGTAAGATAAGTCAGCGGGCCCACCTGTTAGGAGTCCACCTATGTGAGTCTGATGTTGATTGATGTTGTTGTCGTTGCAGGTGGAGATCCGCCCAATGATGTATGTAGCCCTCACCTATGATCATAGACTTGTAGATGGGAGAGAGGCTGTCCTCTTTCTGAGGAAAATAAAATCGGCAGTGGAGGACCCCCGAGTTCTACTATTGGACTTGTAATATACAAGCAGATGTGTTGTAGACATTTATTGTGCCTAATTCTTATGGAGGAGACTATATTCCGGAGAATGCATTGTGTTCTGAGAATCTCGGGAGCATCTACAGCTGTCGCAACATCACTGGTCTCGCATCATCAGCCTCGCACCACTGACACAACCCACAAGACTGTGTGTAAATGTGTGTTTGATGGTTTTATTATCTTGTTTCAAATTGCACAAATACCTTTAATTTTGAGGAAATATTTATTTGAATAAATTATCTACTTATTTGATATGTTTGATTTGCTATACGGCGAATATTGACTTGCTCATTTATGGCATTATTTGATTGGTAATAAAGTATTAAATAACACACTCGTCAAGGTTTACATCCACATACATAAAACCTTGAAGGTGGTGCAGTTGTTTTACTACTGTGTCCATTCACATGATCAGTAACCAGCACTAGTTATTCTGGTAGAAATACAATTGAAAGTGGAATACAACTGATAGTTAAATACAATTGATAGTTAATACAGTTGATAGTTGACTTCATGGTTTATTCAATATCCATTTATAATTTCCCGGACTATGTTATAAATGTAGTGTCAGGCTGTGTAGAATGCTCCTTGTGGTGAGTGGGTCAGGTGACCTTACTACTAGGTCACCGTGACCTTCCAGTTCACAATATTGTGGCAGGTGGAAGTTTTGCTGTTTCAGGTATGGGCTCACCCTTGTGATTGATGGCAACATCAGGTATATTTTCTAGCAGTAAAGTATTTGAGTTGTTTATTGCTTGGTATTTGTTGTTTTTTGTGCTGTAAACGGGGCTGAGATTAATATGACGGGGATTTGTGGTCATGTTTTACCTGTAATCATGTGTTCTGTTTAAGTTATTGTGTCTCAAAAGGATATGAGTGTTTGTAGCTGTCAAGATGGACCTGCAAACCTATGGTGTCACCTGTTGAAGTGAGAACAGGTACCCAGTAACCTAGGCTTGTGATAAGAGGCAATAATGTGGGGATCCTGTGTTAAAACTTGATTGTCATAAGAGGATGGGTTGAGTGGTCAGCCTCGGTGACCCATGGTTGATAGTATGTCCTGATACCATGGAATGGCTGATTGATTGCTCACAATATTGATCACTGGATTGTCTGATCCATACTATATTATATATAGTCTTGTTTCACACAAGGAAGCAAAGTATTGTAAACTAATCTGGAGTAATGGTTCACTTGTGAACTAAATAATGCATGTGTTTCTACATACCAGTTTCGGAAAAGAAAAGAGTCTTCTAAAGTTAATGGCCATGTTTGAAATATGTGTGTTTCGTTCTGTTTGTTGTTTAATGCGACAGTCTGCAATATTTCGAAATAATAGAACCTAGACCAAAACCAAACAATCCAGTGATTCACGTGATTCGTATTGATGTGATAGGATGACCTGCGCCAACCACGTGACCGAGTCCTGACCACTGGATTATGTTAGTCATTAGTCGCAAGCATGGGCTTCCAACCCGAATAGTTGCTACTTGCTATACACGGGAAGAAGCTTCTTTACTTGACAGCTCGCAGTGTGGTATGAATTGTGGACAAACGCCGTGTATTTTCGTCCAAGAGAAACTTTTAGTTTTATTAAATGTGCATATAGCAGACTTGCCTATCCGTACGATTTGGGCGTAAGGCTTACTATTTTTGGTGCTAAATTACGACCTTACAATCATACTGAAATTCCTTACGACTTCTACAAATAAGTGGTAGAATACTAGATATAGACATGCCCATGCAATTTACAGAGTCATTTACGGTACACAAAGTACTGAAAACGGAAGTCGCATCAAAAACATTATAAATAAATAATCTTTGCATCTTACAGTGCTTGCAGAGTTTATTTCAAAGTAAGAGACGTTTTAAACGTCAATTAGATCGGCACCACATTTGACTAATTGACAATTAAACGCTATATTGACATTTTAACCAGCTATGTTTTTGTATGTTTTTCTTGACATTAACATGCCTTACTATCAAATACACCTGCCATACTATTTTTTAGCTGATCTTACTATTTTCTTTAAAAGGGGGTAGGCAAGTCTGATATAGGTGTTAGTGCTTGTCAGACCCATCCTAGATGTCATAGTTAACAGATTAGCCTTAGAAATATGTAAGAATCGGGTGGTGCTTGATTCCTGTTTGTAGTAATGACCCAGGCCTCCTGAAAGGTGTATGCTTAGATGCCGTCGAGACTGCATCGTCGTACCCGACTACGTGGGCCATCAGACACTTAGTAGCTTATTTCTTGAAGTGTGGTCGCGTTGTCTGGACAAATAGCTATCAGCAATTGAGAAATGTGACGCGAGTCGTTTGTGTTTACTGAGACGCTGTGCACTTAAACAGGTAAATCTTCAGTGTCACCGGCTGAAGCCACCCCCGTGTTACCAATGTGATAATATATGCTGACTAACAGCGAACACGCAGTTTAGAGGTTAATCGAAATGAGAAACGAGTTCTCCAGTAGGTTATAGGAATGTTATAGCCGGCTAGGGTTCTCACCACCATGTTACATCGTCCTAAAAGATTCACCGCGCTGACGAAGTTCCAGTGTTTCATTGTGTATCCCATTCTGTAGTTGCTTCAGTGAGAGCGAGAGAATCAGGAAACGAGTTATAAATGTTCATAATATATTTCTGAAAACAGTTGAGTCTGTAACAACTATTACGTGACCGTTACGTACCATTTCTTTTCCAGAAATCATTCTTAGCATTATCAGCCTTCGGCAAAAAAGAAGAAATATCTCCAAAAAAGTTTCAGTTTTTGTTTATTAGATCATTTTTACATTTTCAATCGGGTTGTTTTGGAATATGAATGGTTCCTTTATTGTGCCGTAAGCCTATGAGCTGCACCGATGGTTCTTGCAGTCCGTAGATCCAGAGACTGTCCGCCCCGAACATGGCTGGACAGTAGCCTGTCCACCTTGTGAAATGCGCCAACTAGCTTACACGTTGACTTAACATAGGGAATCAAACAGCGGTCTTCGACTTGAACGAGTAGATAATAGTATTGAACTTAGTATGTGTAGTGTTAGGCTGTCCAGACAAGGCATACATCGGTCGAAGAGAATGTCGCCCCCTACAGCGATGACATGGGACTGTACTTAAGTCGGGGAAATCTTGCTGGATACAGTCACGTGGTTGCATGTGTCTGTCAAAGATAAGAGATTGGATGGAGATGTACGCCACGAGAGCGCTGTGGAAACAAACCTGTAGTTAAAGTATTTAAAACTTAAATAATACCCGATAGGGGATATATTATTGTAACATATATCAAACCCCACATAGGAAACTATAAGAATTCATCTCCGCTGGACCCCCTGTGAGGGTGTGTTTGACTGGGTATCATCAGTTGAGGTGAGCTTCGGGTTATTTTATGCTACAATTTTTTTGCACCTGTCCCAGAAACTGTACAGGTGAGGTGAGGCACTTTTCCCGTTACACGAATACCCAAAATACAACTAAAATGAAGTACACACTTTATATAGCCCTATATTTGTTATTATAAATTGTGCTTTTACTTTCTAAAGCGATATCTGCACTTTAGATAACATTTAATACATTTCGGTATCTATACACGGGACAAATACTGACTTCTGGACAAAATTTCGAAAGAAGGTTGTTTTACGCCAGTCTTCACCAGTTTTCATGGTCCGTCGCAACGACCTATAATTAATTGAGCCTGGACACAATGTTATTAAAATTCTTTTTTGTCACCCCATACGACCCTCCACCCCATACGACCCTCCACCCCATACGACCCTCCACAGTGAACGGATCTGAGGACACCCAATGGGAGGTCGCGTCAGGTGAACCCTGTGTGAACTTTGACCGCCCAATCCTAATGGAGTGTACCATTCAAAAGACATTTCGAAAAATAACGATTTGTGAAAACGAATCACCCATAGTTAAACTCCAGGCAACATCAACAATGGCGTCGCTCTACTGTCTTCCTCGGACGTTTGTCGATTATGTTCGTCTCGAGATGCAGATTTCAGATAATTGAATACAGACAAATATTTAGTAACAGAAGTAAATGTTTCTCATTCAAAATGTTTTATTTGCAAAATAGTTTGAAAAATCCAACTGAAGCTTAGACCAAAATATGATTTTAGTGGCAGAGACTGGGCAATATGGACTGGCAAATAATTCTTGGTTTGAGTTGGATTTAGTTTTGAATTTATTCCCCAGGATCACGGAGACAGCCGAGTTCGAATATTTAGTTCACTCGTACCGACAATTTAGAAGCCACAACGCTGATTGGCTGATTAGAAAGTAGAGCTGACGCGTCAGCCAATAGGCTTGAGTCCCGAGTTTTCAAGCCGAGATGTGTGGGTGTGAATGATGTGATTTTAATGAGATCGGTCTGGATACGGCAATCGTGCGGTTAACCCGCCGGATTATGGGCCGTCATTTATGATAATCACGGGGTACAGAGACCTATTCAGAATATTATTCCACCGGAATTACCAGGTTATTTTCAATGAAAACAATAATCCCCCGAAGCAGCGGAAGCACAAAGATGTGTGCTTTGGGTTGCGGGATGCAGATAGGTCCATTGCTACCTAGCTATGCTGGTCGTACGAGGCCTTCTTATGGTCAGGCTTTATGACTTTTCCTTGAACCTCGATAGAGCGGAGCTTGCTTCCATTTTGATCACCAGATTGTCTGGTCCAGACTCGATTGTAACAGACGGTAGTGGACTAATGCTTGAACATAAAGCATACAAACTCCATGATGACATCCGTATGAGCCTAAGGATACAAAATGAAGGCCACTGACGATATAATCGGCCACAAAGCAATACCGTCACTGATAAAGAAAGTTGGTTGGATTGGTTGTTGTTTAACGCCGCACTCAGCAATATTCCAGCTATATGGCGGCGGTCTGTAAATAATCGAGTCTGGACCAGACAATCCAGTGATCAACACCATGAGCATCGATCTACGCAACTGGGATACGATGACGTGTCAACCAAGTCAGGGACCCTGACCATCTGATGCCGTCAGTCGCCTCTTACGACAAGCATGGGTTAGTGAAGACCAATTTAGACCAACATTATTATGTTTTCTAGATATGAACATGATAAACATGAGACTGAGTGGTTCATTTTACACCAGGAGATGAGAGTGCATACCTTTGTTGTGTTAGGTGTACAAAGGGATATCTTGCCACACAGATCATCATGAGATGCTACTCACCTTCAGAATATCACTCTTCACATATTAGTCAATCTATGACACCAGGGGATATTACATTATCTACCAGATTCCGTCTCAGATGATGAGAGCTTTAACGAAATTGGGTACATGCCATACGATATGTGGTGTGATGTTCATCAGATAGAGTTCTGTTCTTAATGCACCTTTACAAAAGAATAATGCCTTGTTTTGAGACATTAACAAGATAAGGTGCCAGTCTTGCTCAAATGAACATTTCATGTTTATCTGAAATTCATCAATAGATATTATTTATGGTACACAAATTGTAATTCTCTCAGAAACCCAAAGCCTAATTGAAAATGGAATTGTTTCACTTTTGTTACATTTACTTTATTAGATGCTTGTAATAGCAGATTAGAAAATCTCTTTAGATATAATATTTATTTGAAATATATATTAATTTAATCCGATAGTTAACTGTTCGTTTAAATGCAAAAACGAAAATTGGACATATTCCATGTTCAAAGCAAACTGTGTCATTAGGTTTTGATCGCAACCCACCGAGGAATCGTTTACAACGTTGA